TGTTGAAATTTAAGCAAACTTTTTCACTCTCCTCTTTCACTTTCATCAAGAGACTTTTTAGTTCCTCTTCACTTTCTGCCATAAGAGTGGTGTCATCTGCATATCTGAGGTTTTTGATATTTCTCCCAGCAATCTTGATTCCAGCTTGTGCTTCTTCCAGCCCCGCGTTTCTCATGATGTACTCTGCATATAAGTTAAATAAGCAGGGTGACAATATACAGCCTTGACGTACTCCTTTTCCTATTGGGAATCAGTCTGTTGTTCCATGTCCAGTTCTAACTGTTGATTCCTGACCTGCATATAGGTTTCTCAAGAGGCAGGCCAGAAACTTTGGAGACCAGAAAAGAATAGGCTGACATGTTCAAAGTGCTCAAAGAGAAGAACCATCAACCAAGAGTCCTAAAACCAGCAAAACTGTCCTTCAAACCTAAAGGAGAAATTTTGTGTTTAATGTGACATACAGTTCAAAAAAATTTTTTTCATGGGCTGGCCAAATCCATTGACTTGAAATATTATTTTTGTCACACTACCAAATCCCTTCCTATATAAATAATATAAATGTATACTTGTTCCTGGATCCTATATTATGTTTTATTGACTTATGATTCTATTTTTGTGCTATCCCACCCTGCTATATACATAGCTTAATAAAAATGGAAGATTATATTCAAGAATGCAAGTTCTGTTGGGGAGAAAGTCAGGAAGGGATAGTTAGGGAGTTTGAGATGGGCATGTACACACCACTATATTTACAGTGGATAACCAACAGGATCTACTATACAGCACAGGGAACTCTGCTCAATGTTATGTGCCAGCCTAGACGGGAGTGAGGCTTGGGGGAGAATGGATACATGTATATGTACGGCTGAGTCCCTTTGCTGTTCAACTGAAACTACCACAACATTTTTAACTGGCTATACCCCAATACGAAATGAAAAGTTTACAGTCTGGAAAAAAAAATTATGGAAATCTAAATAAAGTATAGATTTAGTCAATTAAAAGAAAAATGCAAGTTCTTGCCACAACAAAGACCCGAAGCAACCAAATAAAAAAAAAGGAATTCAAGTTTGGTTTGATGTTAGGAAATCCACAGGTGCAGCTCACAGTTTAAAGGCGAGATCGGTCACAGCACTGCCTCCTGTGGCTTCACATACACTGAGATACGTCCACACTCCTGACAGTGACCAGGGCTCAAGCCCCTCTGACCTTGCCCCCCTAACCCCTTGGTGAGCCCACTTGCTCACCGACTGTGCTCCAGCAACCGGCAGGGAAGTCCACTCTGGCCTTGTCCTGCCACTCTAACACGCAGATTTGCGGCTGTTGGTCTCCTGGTTCTCTGCACGACTCTCTCCCACCTTTCAGATCTCTGCTCATGTGTAGCTTTCTCACAGAGGCCTTCCCTGACCACTGGGACTCCCCCTGCCCTCCCCCTGGACCCTGACCCTCTCCATCACGCTCACGGTTTATTTTATTCAGGCACTAACTACCATCAGAACTGCCCTGCTTAGTCACTTGTTTTCTTCTTCAGCGTCATTATCCTCCACCCCCACCACACTCACAAGGTGAGGACTTGGAGTAATTGTTCACCGTTACATCGCCAGTGCCTGCAGCACACATCAGGGCCCCAGTAAACATCTGCTGGCTGGATGAATGACTGGAAGTGTAATAAATCGTGCGATTAGATCAATGCCGCTAAAAAGTCATTTGCTCATTTAACAGACAAGCCTAGAAGTTTTATAAAATGTGGAAACATACCTTAAGAGGCAGGTAGATTATACAGCACAAGTATTATTGTCAGTGAAGCCATGGTTCACAAGTATTATTGTCAGTGAAGCCATGGTTTTTAGTCCAATTCAACTGCTTCCCAGTCATGCATCCCTGGGCAAAGTCATTGAACCTCTCTGAACCTCTGTGTCCTCCATTATAAAATGCAAGAAACAATGGTAAGGAGAACTGTTACAGAACATAAGGAAATGATTTGAGTCCAGTACTTAAGAGAGGATCAGGAACACAGTAAACCTTCAACAAGTATTATACAGTGTTAACCTAAATGGCAAAAAATGAGGAATTGAAGGAATCTTTTCCAAGAGGAGAACTAATTAGAAACAGGTCATAGGACTTCCTTGGCAGTCCAGCAGTTAAGATTCCACTGCACGGGTTCCATCCCTGGTCGGGGCACTAAGATCGCGCATGCCACTCGGGGTGGCCAAGAAGTTTAAAAATAAATAAACTTTTAGTTAAAAAGAAATAAAAGAAACTGGTCACAAACATCAAGTCTAACAGTTTGGGCTAGACCTACTTCTGGGAGAGTCAGGAGTCGGACAGGGATGCCTGCCACAACTGCTGTCCTGCAACACTGCTGGCAGCAGCGGTGAGGTCTGGCCATGCAGAGTAAGTGTTCAAAATCATAGTTATGCTTTTAGAGAAAGGATGAAATTATTTGTATTGCAGTCATTCAAAACCCTGAAGAGAGGGGTGGTTTTTTGGGGTTTTTTTTGGTTTATAATTCATTTATTTTTGGCCGTGCTGGGTCTTTGCTGCTGCCCGGGCTCTTCTCTAGGTGAGAAAGGGCTTCTCTCCAGCTGTGGCTTCTAACTGCGGTGGCTCCTCTCGTTGCACAGCAAGGGCTCTCAGGCTCACAGGCTTCAGTAGTTGCAGCACAAGCGTCCAGTAGTTGTGACTCACAAAAGGGTCAGGAGGCAAGCTCTGAGAGACTCTAGGGCACAGCTCATAGCTATGGGCACACGGGCTTAGCTGCTCCTCGGCATGTCGGATCTTCCCAGGTCACAGAAGGAACCTGTGTTTCCTGCATTGGCAGGCAGATTCTTTACCCCTGAGCCACCAGGGAAACCCCTCAAAAGCCTAAAGAGAGTTAACTGGAAAACAATGAAAACTACTGGGAATACTTAACACCTGGATGGGATAATGAGATTAAAATACATGAAAACTAATTGTTTTCTTTGACCCCAACAAAATTCATAACAAGAATTATTTAAAAATACTTAAGACACAAAGAAGAAACTGGCAAGATCTAGATAAGAAAAACTATAGTTTCGCAAAGGATCTAAAGGAAAACCTCAATAATACCTCCATTAATCCGTGTACATTAACACAACTTAAACCAGTATCCTAGCCAGTTTCTTTTCCCCTTGGTCTTAACATTGAGAAAAATGAACTAAAAGAGCCAGAAGGGACCTGGAGAAGTAGAGGGAGCGTGGCCTTGCCCTGGCCTATTTCTGAAGTCCCAAAGTAGTTCAGCCCAGTTGGACACTATCTACCTCAAGTTTGCTGCACTAACTCTTCAGTGTCACCATGAACTGAATGCTTGGAAAATACCGTTTTACTTATTGCCAAGCTTCTTTTGGGCTTCTCAAGTGGCTCAGCGGTAAAGAATCCGCCTGCCAATGCAGGAGACTCAAGAGACTTGGATTTGATCCCTGGGCTGGGAAGATCCCCTGGAGGAGGAAATGGCAACCCACTCCAGTATTCTTGCCTGGAGAATCCCATGGATAGAGGAGCCTGGCAGGCTCCAGCCCACTGGGTCACAGAGAGTTGGATATGACTGAACACACACACACAAACTTCTTTTAGTATTTTCCAGGTAGAAAGATCCATCCAAGATTAAAATGCCGGGGAAGCCCAATTCAAATCCAAGGTAGAGGAGTGTGTTGGATCCTGAGGGCTATCTCCAGCGGATCTCTCTTAAATGAACCCAATCGGGACCCAGAGAGCTCCAGGGCTGGAGGGTGTGGGTCAACCAGTTTCAAAGAGCCACTGCCGCCCAAGGCAGCAGGTGTAGCTTCTGCCCAGCCTCACGTCCTGTTTTCTCTCCTAGACCCGTGGACAAAGGATGGCCAACCCCTGCCCGCTGAGTGCCTGGGGCCCTGCTGGAGGGGCTGCCAAGGGCTGGACACCCTGCCCACTGCAGGTGAGGAGGGGGTCCTCCAGTGCCCGCCTTGGTTGAGGGAGGGACACACGGGGGCGGCCAGCCTTGGCCATGGGACCCACTCCAGTCCCCAGGGATGAAAGGGAAAGTGGGTGGGTGGGGCTTTGCCCCTCAGCACCTGCATCTCTGTCCCCAGCAGAAAACATGCTGCCTGAGGTTCAGGAGAAGCCCCTGTGCTTCCCGGTTCATAGGACGCAAAAGAAAAGGACCTGAGAGGCTGCTCTGAGAACTAGTCCTCCCCTCCCTTTCATCGCCTCCTTTCTTTTTAAATTAGCAGACTTTAGTTTTTAGAGCAGTTTTAGGTTCACAAAAGAACTGAGTGGGAATGATGGAGCTTTCCCTCTCCCCGCCCCGCCGGCCTACACGCGCCTTCCCCCGCTGGAGGGGCATGTTGGTTACAATCGGTCACCCACACGACACGTCACGGTCACCCAGAGCCCGGAACCAGCATCAACATCACCCGTGGTGCTGCTCCTTCTACGGCTCTGGACGAACGTACACACCGCTGCAATATCACACAGAGTCGCGTCCGCGCCCTGGTAATCCTCTGTGCTCCGCCAGCTCCTCCTCCCCAGAGCCCTGCCAGCCGGCGCTGTGTCTATGGCTCTGCCTGTTCCAAAAGGCCATGGGCCTGAGACTGTACCGCACGCAGCCTCTCCCTGTTGGACTCTTCCACCCTTCCCTTCTCGCCGGTGGACCTGTTCCTGATTAGCTCCATTTCCAGGTTACAAATGAGGACACCACGGCACAGAGAGCTCAGGCGGCCTGTCCAGTGTCACACAGACGGTGAGTGGCAGAGCTCAGATTCTAGCCCGGGGTCCCCTGCCCTGGCGATGCTCCTGGCAGCAGGGCCTACTGTGGCCACACAGGACCAAACCCGTCCTGGAGGCCAGACTGAGGGATGGCCGCCCGCCATCTGGGGAGGGAGAGAGGGTGGGCCTTCATTCCACCCGGGCCCCGAGGCTCGGTCACCTGTCCCAGGCCACTGGGCAGGACGACAGAGGCAGCAGGCCCAGGCCTCTCTCCACAGCCCCTGGCCACAGTCCCCGACTCCATGAGGAAGCAGGAGTTGCGCCCGGGCGGGGAGGCTGGCCAGGGCCACGCCGCCAGCTCCCCAGCCGAGCAGGTGAAAGCCCTGGTGGACCTGCTGGCCGGGAAAGGCGGTCAAGGCTCCCAGGCCCCGCAGCCCCTCAACAGGACGCCAGAATGCCCGCTGAAGCCCCATGGCAATGGTAGGCCCATGGATGGGGATCCCCGGGCCTTTTTCCCCTCCCCCTTCCCCCTCCCCTCTCCCACTCTCCCCCATGGCCTCTGTCCCGCAGACTTGAGGATACAGAGGCACCGGGAGGCCCTGCTGAGCAGGACCGGGGGCGGCCCTGAGCTGGGCAGCCCCTCCCCAAGGCTGACCAGCCTCCTGCTGGTGGAGGGCCTGACGGACCTGCAGCTGAGGGAGCACGACTTCACGCAGGTGGAGGCCACGCGCGGGGGCTGGTGCTCGGCCAAGACCATCGCCCTGGACAGGCTCTTCCTGCCCCTGTCGCGGGTATCCATCCCCCCCCGCATCTCCATCACCATCGGGGTGGCCGGGGTGGGCAAGACCACCCTGGTGAGGAACTTTGTCCACCTCTGGGCCCGGGGGCAGGTGGGCAAGGACTTCTCATTGGTACTGCCCCTGACCTTCCGGGATCTCAACACCCACGAGAAGCTGTCTGCAGACAGACTCCTCCGCTCCGTCTTCCCGCACGCTGGGGAGGCGGGCCTGGCATCAGAGGCGCTGAGCAAAGCCCTCTTGGTTCTGGATGGCCTGGACGAGTGTAAGACGCCCCTGGACTTCTCCAACACCGTGGCCTGCACGGACCCCAAGAAGGAGATCCAAGTGGACCACCTGATCACCAACATCATCCGGGGCAACCTCTTCCCAGAAGTGTCTGTCTGGATCACCTCCCGTCCCGGCGCAGCTGGCCAGATTCCAGGGGGCCTGGTGGACCGGATGACCGAGATCCGGGGCTTCAGTGAAGAGGAGATCAAGACCTGTCTGGAGCAGATGTTCCCCGAGGACCCTGTCCTCACGGGCTGGGTCCTGAGCCAGGTGCAGGCTGACCGGGCCCTGTACCTCATGTGCACCGTCCCGGCCTTCTGCCGGCTGGCGGGGGCAGCGCTGGGCCACCTGCATCGCCACAGGCCGGGGCCCCCAGACGCTGAGCTGTGGCCCCCGAGGACCTTGTGTGAGCTCTACTCGTGGTACTTCAGGATGGCCCTGGGCGGAGAGGGGCAGGAGAAGGCCAAGGCGAGCCCCCGTATTGAGCAGCTGGCTCACAGCGGCCGCAAGCTGGTGGGCACGCTGGGCCGGCTGGCCTTCCATGGGCTGGTCAGGAAGAAGTACGTGTTCTACGAGCCCGACCTGAAGGTGCTGGGCGTGGACCTCGCGCTGCTACAGACAGCCCTGTGCAGCCGCTTCCTGCAGCGGGAGGAGACGCTGGCCTCCGCGGCCGCCTACTGCTTCACCCACCTGTCCCTGCAGGAGTTCGTGGCGGCCGCGTACTACTGCAGCGCCTCCAAGAGGGCCATCTTCGACCTCTTCACCGAGGGCAGCGTGTCCTGGCCCCGGCTGGGCTTCCTCACTCACTTCCGGAGTGCGGCCCAGCGGGCCATGCAGGCCGAGGACGGGCGGCTCGACATCTTCCTGCGATTCCTCTCAGGCCTCTTGTCCCCGAGGGTCAACGCGCTGCTGGCCGGCTCCCTGCTGACCCAGGGCGAGCACCAGGGCTACCGGGCCCAGGTGGCCGAGCTCCTGCAGGGCTGTCTGCGCCCCGACGTGGCAGTCTGCGCCCGGGCCGTCAACGTCCTGCACTGCCTGCGCGAGCTGCAGCACATCGAGCTGGCCCGCAGCGTGGAGGGGGCCGTGGCCAGCGGGGGCCTGGCCAGGCTGACCAGCCCCCCGCACCGCGCCGCCCTGGCCTACCTCCTGCAGGTGTCCGACGTCTGCGCCCCGGAGGCCCCCCTGCCCCTGCGCCTCGGCCCAGGCGTCCTCCAGAGCCTGCTGCCCCAGCTGCTCTACTGCCGGAGCCTGAGGTGGGCGCTGGGGGCAGGGGCAGCGCGGGGTGTGCGGGAGGAGGGTACAGTGAGGACCCGGCGGGCTCCTCCCGCCCCCACGCCCCCCTGTGTCCCGTCTTGGGGCTGCCGTCACCAAGGACCACGACCCAGGCCGCTTCAAGTGACAGAAACCTCTTCTCTCCCAGTTGCGGAGACTGGAGTCCGAGAGGAAGGCGTCAGCAGGGCCATGCTCCCTGGGAGACCTCTAGGGATGGTCCTTGGGTCATTCCTGGCCTTCCCAGCCTGCGGTGTCTGCCGGCAGTCCTTGGCCTGCAGACCCAGGCTCTGCCTCTGAGGTCACACGGCTGTCTCCTCCATGTCTGTCTTCTCGTAGATCTCTCTCTCTTGTGGGGACACTGGTCCCCACGCTGGGTTACAGACCACCTCACTCCACCATGACCTCATCCTCACTCGTTATCTGCAACAACCCTATTTCCAAAGAAGGTCACATTCCTGAGGCGGGGGGTGGGGTGGGGCGTAAACACCGGTATATCTTATACCCCAAAACACTCGCTCTACAACACCCCGTATATCACCCCAGTGCTGACAGAGGCCACACCCACTCACTCCACCCTCAGCCTGTCGTCCTCTGTCCACTCTCTGGACTTCGGTGGCGGGGAGGGGAAGGCTGGAGGACCAGGGCCACTGGGGACCTCAGAATAGCTCCTATAATCCTTAAAGGAGGGCAGCTGATGTCCTACCGACGCACACAGTGTGGGGGCTGCAGGGAAGGCAGCCCAGCGGGTCAGAAACCCATGGTTTATGCCACCGAAACTCCCAAGTCGCCTGGTGGGAGAACTCTGAGCACGCACAGATCTCTGAGCCGCTCGGCAGGGGCTTCGCTGGGATGGAGAGGAACGGGCGGCGGAGGGTCTCAGCCTAGGTGTCTGGGCTTAGCGCCCACTCTGCTGCCAGGGGCCTCATCCCACCTGCCCACGGCAGTAGTAGGACCGCTCACTGCTGCTGTTCCTCCTGACCAGGCTGGACACCAACCAGTTCCAGGACCCCGTGATGGACCTGCTGGGCAGCGTGCTGAGTGGGAAAGACTGCCGCATCCAGAGGATCAGGTAACACAGACCCAGGAGACCCCGCACAGGGTGCTCACCTGTCTCTCAGGGTCCGGGGCTCTTTTCACATCCTCCTCTCTGCTCAAGTGGCCTGCGGTGCTCTCCAAGAGAGGTATCTTTGGGGCATGTGACTCGGGGTGCAGGTTGCTTGTTTCCACCCATTCCAGAAAGTTCCAGAGGCCCAGGTACCTCACTTGTAAAAAGAGAGAAAGGACATGGCGAGGGTCAGATGCTACTGTAGATACAGAACCATTTTTCCCAATACCGTATGCGCGGATGTACTGCCAGGCCCGATCCACTCTACATGCCTCTCAGAGTTTGCCCTTGGATGGTATTCTGAGCACAGTGTTACATCTTTAAAAAAAAAAATCCAAACTTTTAAGTTAAAAATTCATATTAATTAAAACAATTTTAAACATTGCATCTTTAATAGTCTAATTAGATGACAGTTTATATACTAACTAAAGAGCAGATCTATATGCTCATGAAATCTCTCCTATAAATAACATATCCGAGTCTGAATAACACCCTGATTTGTAGCCGAATCGATGTGATGACCAGCAGCTGGCTTTGGGAGAACTAGGGAAGTGAATTTAGAGAAAATAAGACTCAGAGAGTAACTTTTCATAAGCCTCACATAAGCTTCCAGCTTTTGAAATCATCTTTATCTGAAAAGACAAAAATTCAGACCGAGTCCAGACCAAAAGTAAGTCATTGAGGATAGTGGCCAGAGTAGTGAGCTCTGGGTGACTTTGGATATATACCTTTGTGCCTGAGGAGGGTAAACAGTAGGGGTTCAGGGGGCCTCTGGACCACTCCTCAGTGTGTTCAGGGTACACCCTCTCAAGGTAGATAGAGATGTACATTTTGTTAAAGTCAGCTTCATAACTCAACCATTTTCCTTTCTTGCTTTAGAGAAAGGACAGGGGCCGAGGGTGTGCTGGAGCCACAAGTTCATCCACCAGTTCATGAGAGCTGACTGTTAGGCTTTCAGGAATTTTTTCATGTTGACAGTGCTAGAAATTGGCCATGGTGGGAGTATTTGCACCATGGAAATTAGCCAGTGCAACAGATCAGGGCTTTTGTTATTTTGCTTTTTCCTGAGAGCTGGTTCTCCAGCACACCCCTGGCTGGAGTCTGCAGTAATTGCCCGTCCTCTCTGCTGCACTGATTGTGGTCAGACTTCTCCCTGAGGCCCTCTGCTGGGCTTCCCAGGTGGTGCTAGTGGTAAAGAACCTGCCTGCCAGTGCAGGAAACATAATGAGACAAAGGTTCGATCCCTGGGTCGAGAAGATCCCCTGGAGGAGGGCATGGCAGCCCACTCCAGTATTTTTGCCTGGAGAATCCCATGGACAGAGGAGCCCAGCGGGCTGCAGTCCATGGGGCTGCGAAGAGGCAGACACGACTGAAGTGACTGAGCACGCACACATGGGGCCCTCTGCTAATGTGAGGGTCTGTCCACCCACTCTGGCCCTACCATGCCCAAGCTCCTGAACCTGGCTCATCTGGTCTCCACCTGAGTCCTGGCCCTGATGATGCTACGGTGGCTGACAGGTTTGCATCACAGGCCTGGAGTTGCAGAAGAGGTGATGAGGTTACAGACCCACATTAAGCACCCTCTCCTTCTCTTCGGGCAGCTTGGCTGAGAACCAGATCAGTAACAAAGGGGCCAAAGCTCTGGCCAGATCCCTCCTCGTCAACAGAAGCCTGACCACTCTGGAGTAAGTAGGACCCTCACCACTGGGATGGGGGGAGCCTGTGAACCATCATGTGAAGCCCCGTGGGGAACACTCTCCCCAGGGTGGGCTGGAAGGACAGGAAAGCTGAGCCAGCCAAGTCTTGGCTCCTGCTCAGCTGCTGGGACTCGCTCATAGAAGCACCAGAATATTGGCCTTGAACCTGGTGTTATCATCACTTCTCCACACTCAGCCCAAGCCCACTAGTCCATCAGACCCTGCTTCCTTCTCCCCTTTGTGTGGGGCCACCATAGGGAATGCCTTCCTTATTTGCCTAAACAAAGATCTCTGCCCCAGTTCCACCAGACAGGGCTTCCCTGGTGGCTCAGATGGTAAAGAATCCACCTGCTATGCAGGAGACCCAGGTTCAATCCCTGGGTCAGGACGATCCCCTGGAGAAGGGAATGGCAACCCACTCTAGCACTTGCCTGGAGAATCCCATGGACAAAGGAGCCTGGCGGGCTGCAGTCCATGGGGTCACAAAGAGTCAGACACGACTGAGTGTCTAGCACAAGCCCTGGCACATTGTCTTCGAGGAGCGTGGATTTAAAGGTCTGAGTAACTTCTCCCTCCCTGGAAACTGGATAACTGGTCCTTTCTCTTCCTCCGCCAGTCTCCGCAGTAACTCCATCGGCCCTCAAGGGGCCAAGGCACTGGCGGATGCTCTGAAGATTAACCGCACCCTGGCCTCTCTCAGGTACGTGTCACCTGCTTGCTGCCTCTCTGCCCCCAGGAGGTGACTCAGAAAACCATCTCCTCAGGTGCCACCCGTGGAGTGGGAGGTAATTCCCAACAGCAGCCACAAGATACTGGCTCCCACCCGTGGATGCCAGGGCATCCTCTGTGCTGAGCAAGTTTCTAAGTCCAGCTCTTCACTGCGCCGGTGTTCAGGGTCTGAACCAGGGAGGGAGGAGAAGAGGGGCAGAGGTATGAGGAGGTCTGACAGGCAAAATAATCTACGAGGAAAAGTTCCTGTCTCCATGAGTGGGAGGTCCCCAAGGCCATGACATCAGGAAGATCCCTGAGCTGTCTTCCAAGACACTGAAATCCCATTTCCAGACGGTTCCCCATGTGCGCTGAGGTTTGCTGGGCTCCTTTAAGGGGCCTGTGGTTGTATCCATCCTTAGTTGATGTGTACTGCCAGTCTGTTTTGCTCATTTACTTCTTTTCACTGAGGCAAAATTCACATAAAATTTACCATTTTGGAGTGTATAGTTCAATGGCATTTAGTACAGTCACAGTTATGCAACCAACACCTCGATCTAGTTCCCAAGTATTTACATCCCCCTAAAAGGAGTCCCTCTACCCATCAGCAATCACTTCCCATGCCCCCCTCTCCCCTCGGCCCCTGGCAACCACCAATCTGCTTTCTGTCTGAAGATTGCATGTAAATGGAATCAAACAGTAAGGCTTTTTTTGCCTATCTTCTTACACCCGGTGGAATGTTTTCAAGGTTCATCCATGTCGAAGCATGTGTATTTCATTCCATTTTAAGACTGAATAATATTCTATTACATGGACCACGATTTGTTCATCCACTCGTCAGTTGCTGGACACGGGTTGTTTCCACCTGTTGGCTACTGTGCTGTACACATCTGTGCACAAGCATTTGAGGACCTTTTTTCAGTTCTTCCGGGTGGATACATAGCAGTGGGATCTGCTGGGTCACAGGTGACCCTGTGTTTAACCTTTTGAGGAAACGGCCAGGCCTGCTTTCCTCGGAGGCCACACCATCTAATGTTCCTACCAGGAACCGGGATGAGGGCTCCAATTTCTCCATGTCCTCACCAACACCTGGGTGCTGTGTTTCAGCTGTAACTCAGACTATCGATGACCTTGTGGTCCAGTTGTCAGGGGCTCCTTGTCCACAGCGAGCAGGCAGGTGCCTGGAGACCCCAGGGAAGTCCTGAGGCCAGAGCAGCGGTGGGAAGGGCCAGCTCCCCCACTGGCTGGGTGTGCGGGGTGAGGGCCTGCCGGGTGCCCTCCTGGGCGCCACCAGTGATGCCCCTCCTTGCCTCCACAGCCTCCAGGGCAACAGGATCAGGGACGACGGCGCCAGGTGTATGGCTGAGGCCTTGGCCGCCAACCGGATCCTCTGTGTGCTTCAGTGAGTGGCGTGCCGGCTGGCAGGGATGGTTCCTCTCCTCCTCTCCTCCCCGACGGCCTCTCTGTTTCCCGCACAGAGGGGTGGATGGGACAAGGCCCCGAGGCTTGCTGAGCCATCCACAGGGCCCCTGGGAAACCTGACCTCCACTGCTTTTCCGGAGAACGGGTGTTGGGGCAATAATTACAAACACAGCCTCCCGCCAACGTGGGAAATCCTCTCCACAAATGCAGAAAAGTACAAAACTGCTTAATTACTGGAGTAAGCACTCAGCTAACCTGCAGTGAGCATCCAAGGTGATCTTCCAGTGGGATGGCAAAGACAGAAAGGAATCTCACCCTTTCCTGCAGCCGAGCAGACACAACCCTTTACATGTGGGTTTTCAAGAAAAACCACAGCTTGTCCTCAAACAAGAGAACTGGAATAGCAATATTTGTCATACTTAGTTTATCCTAAATTTGCCTGTCATCCGGGAGGGGGAGCCATCTGTCCTGTCTCCTGCCTTCATGCCGAGGAAAATGAAAACTCCTGTCTTTACGACAAGCAGGCACTTACAGCAGAGCAGGTGTTCTCCTCCTTGATGCGCAGGGTTCAAAGAGGTGGCGCAGAGGCCCTTACCAAAGACATTCCTAGGCTGTAAGTCTGGCAAGGAGCTAACTTCTACTAATAGCTCTTAAAAAGATTTACATACTCTCAAAGGGACAGGGAAAGGATTTATAATCCCTAGTTTCCTCAAGGAAACTACGGGAGGGGAGGGCTTTTTCTCCCCCTGCTCTTTTGGAACCAAGGAAAGTTCCATTTTGTTTAGATTGTAGTTAGCCTCACACAGATGAGGTCCTGGCCTGCCTGTCCTTCTAGGATGAATGCAGGGGTCCTCCTGTAGTGTCTTCCTCCTCCAGATTTAGTGTAGGAGGAAGCAGCAGATGAGGAGCCTAAGCCAGGGTCTGCCCTCAAGAGGACTGCAGGGCTGGGGGGCAGGCTGCAGGTTGGTCTGAATGGAGGCAGTCTGCTGAGTGTTGAGAAGGCTGGTCAGGCGAGGGGCCAGTGGGCCTTGTATGTAGAAGTCTTCGGAAAGTCTCCAGTTTGGAGGTTGATGGATATTAACAGTGTTCACTGGTCACTGCTTTCTGGCCCCTCAAGGGAAGGCCCAGCTGCCCCTGCCTCTTTTTGTTGTTTAGTTGCTAAGTCGTGTCTGACTCTTTTGCGACCCCATAGACTATAGCCCGCCAGGCTCCTCTGTCCATGGGATTCTTCAGGCAAGAATACTGGAGTGGGTTGCCATGCCCTTCTCCAGGGGATCTTCCCGGCCCAGGGATCGCACCTGCGTCCCTGCATTAGCAGCAGGGTTCTTTACAACTCAGCCACCAGGGAAGCCCCGCCTGTAGCCTCTTACTCTTCACATAACTCCATCAGTCTATTAGCAACATTTTGGCAACAATCCAAGGACCTTTCCTGGAGACCCCTCCCCCATGCTGCAGTAAACTTGAACCAGACTGTCCTTGGCCTGGGAACGCCTGTGGCCAGCTTTACTGAAGGACCCCTCTCCTTCAGCCTGCAGAAGAACTCCATCGGGCCAGTGGGAACCCAGCAGATGGCAGATGCCCTGAAGCAAAACAGGAGTCTGAAGGAGCTCATGTGAGAAATGCAGAAGGGCCAAACTGGTACCCTTCATGTCTGGCACAATGCCCAGCTTATCACAAATATTTGTGAGCATGGGGTGGGTAGATGGATGGATGAATGGGTGGGTGGATGAGTCAGTAAATGGATGGATGAATGGATGGATGGATGGATGGATGGGTGGGTGAGCAGATGGATGAATGAATGATTGAATGATTGGGTACTAGATAGCTGGCTTTGGACTCCAAAACCCTGAGCCAGGAAAATGGAGATCCAGATTCCCAGGAAGGAGTGAGCTCCAGCTCTCTCAGGCTCACCATGACTGCCACCTTCATACAAAGATCACAAATGCCTCTCGCTGAAGGGTTGGCTCTGTCCCCATCAAGGAGTCGAGAAGGACACTGCTACCTTGATCTCTTACAAAGGCCACCTGCCAGCCGGCCTCAGGCAGAAGAAACTGTGTACTGGGCACCCTTGAGACCAGAGACAGCCCTTCCCTGGAGGGCTCCCGGACTCTGACCCCTCCTGGCCTCACCCTGCCCGGCTGCTCCACCCATGTCCCCTCTCTTGCAGGTTCTCCAGCAACAGCATTGGCGATGGAGGCGCCAAGGCCCTGGCAGAGGCCCTGATGGTGAACCAGGGCCTGAAGAGCCTGGAGTGAGTCCCCAGGTGGTGGCTGTGGGCAGAGGGTGACTCCCCGCCCGGGGTTCCCTGGCCAGCAGGGGGGCAGGTCCTGGTGGAGGGCTGTCAGTCAGAACCCACCAGCCTGCCAGCCGGGCACTCTGTGCTCCAAATGTCTCTCCCTCCAGCCCACCCGGCCAGCTGCCACTCCCTGGACAGTAGGTTGGTGTTGGTTCTGGAATTCTCAGAGTGACAAGCGCCAAGTGCCCTTTAGAAGCTGGCCTAGGTGGCTGTGGAAGGGCTGGCTCTGGGGGCCGTTGGGGGGGGTGGGGACACCTGGCTATGCCACGTTCTCTGGGGGCTGCAGACACACGTCCCCTCAGAAGCCGTGCGGAGCCGCCCAAATTGAGGCGATGTCTAAACTCTGGCACTGGCGGTGCTGGACCCACCTGCCCTCGGCTGGTAGGGGCTGGACTGATGGGCATGGGAGAGGAATGAGGAATGGGGAGGGCACGGGGCTGGCACAGGGCCCCCAGCCCCCTGCTGGCCTCAGTGCCATGGCCCGGGCTGGACTCCCCCTGGGTCCTGAGGCAGCCACGCCCAGGGCACCCTGTCCTCTGTCTGCAGCCTGCAGAGCAACTCCATCAGTGACCGGGGAGTAGCAGCGCTGATGGGGGCCCTCTGCACCAACCAGACGCTCCTCAGCCTCAAGTAAGCCCTGCCCTTCCCTCCGTTCCTTGGCTGGGGGTCTGAAGGGACTCTGGGACGTGGAGGGAAAGGCTGGTGCTGAGAAGCCCCCACTCCCACCCCCACCCCAAGGTCCTCGGAGGGGAAGAGCCGCGGTTGGGCAGCTTGGCGCTGGAGCCCGGCCGCCTGCGCCCCCACTCATGGGGACAGGGGGAGGGGGGCAGCCTCAGCAGGCGGGTCTGCCACCTCCTTCCTGAGGGCAAGCCTGCAGACACCCAAGCATGCCAGCCTGCCCCTCCCCTCACGCCTCTGAGGTCCTGGCGTCTTATCCTCTTCCTCTTGGACTGTCTGTCCTCCTGTGGACAGTCCCGGGACAGGGGAACACATGGATGGCAAGCCTTGCGCGGGGGCTTCCTGGACCAGGCTCTTCCTGCCTCCACCCAGGATCCACCTGGGGTTCCTGGCTTCTAAACAGCCTGAGCGCCTGGATGCCGCGCCACCCGCCCCCCGACCCCACCAAAGTCTCCTCTGTCCATCAGCAGCTCAGGGTCATCTCTTTCCTCAGCCTTCGAGAAAATTCCATCAGCCCAGAGGGAGCCCAGGATCTGGCGCTTGCTCTCCGCACCAACAGCACCCTGAAGAGTCTGGAGTACGTGAGGGGGCAGACGGGGCTTCCTAAGGCTCTCTTATGCCACCGGGGGCCCTGCCCACCCCGAGCTGGGAGCTGATGGGCGGACCCTTGGGAGAAGGACGTGGTTGGGTGGGTGGCCGGGAGGCCTGGTGGTGACCCTGACACAAGTCCCCCTCTGATGCTGCAAAGTGCCCAAGGATGGAGTGAGTGGTGACAGTCGCCCTGCCCTGAGCCCACACCCCTGCAACAATACAGGAGCAAGGCCGGGGGTGGGGGGGTCCCAGCACAGGGGCCAGGAGTGAGTGAGTCACCAGGCAGCTCTGCCACCTCCTGGCAGGTGACCAGGGACGGAGGCCCACCAAGCAGAGCCTGCCCCCTGCCCACCCCCAGGACATGTGGCAGGCGCGGCGCCAGGGAGCACATTCAAGTGCCCTGAGAGCCTGAGCCTGGCAATCCCAGTGGACAGGACACAGCCCTGGGGTGGGGCTGGGGATAGGGGAGTGGTCTGGATCCCCAGGGAGCAAGGATGGGGGCTGCACTGCTGGCTCTGGCTCACTTGCCCCCTCCCCTCTGCCCAGCCTGACAGCCAACCTACTCCACGACCAGGGCGCCCAGGCCATCGCAGAGGCAGTGAGAGAAAACCGCGCCCTCACGTCCCTTCAGTGAGTCCATGGCGCGCCCAGCTGGCCTGTCCTCCCAGAGCTGCAGGGCCCCACTCAAACCAGGGGAGGCAGGAGGCCAAGTCGGGCTCAGGGTCCCCGCCCCTGGCATGGCCTCAGCAGGTTGTGCCCGGCTCCCTGCTCTGCTTCCTGGGGCCGATCCATGCAGAGGCCAGTGGTGGGAGGTGGGCGCTGTGTCACATGCTCCACGCGGGGGCCCCTCCACTAGCCAGAGTGCACGCTGACCCCCTTGGACCAGCCTGGGGGAGGGCTGCAGGACCTCTGCCCACCCTGGCCCAAAGCTCCCAGGACCTCCTGGCTCTGCCCTGGGCCACGTGGTCATGTGTGTGTGTGTCTGCCCAGCCTGCAGTGGAACTTCATCCAGGCCGGCGCTGCCAAGGCCCTGGGACAAGCACTACAGCTCAACACGAGCCTGACCAGCCTCGAGTAAGTGGGGCCTCCGAGGGGGTGGGAGGCGCAGAGTCAGTCACCCTGCTGCCCACCGGTTCTCCTGCCCTCAGCGCACAGCCTCCTCAGCTCTAGGGCCAGACAGCATGTTTCCATCTGACTTGGTGTTGTGTGTGTATATATATATATATTTTTTTTTTTTTTTAACAAAATAACAGCTTTGCTGAGATATAATCCACTCTTTAAGGTGTACAAATCACTGGTTTCTCGTATATTCACAGAGCTGGGCAACCATCACTAAAATCAATTTTTGAACACTTCAGTCACCTCACGAAAAACCTCATGCTTATCAGCACTCACACCTCACTTCCTCCCCAGTCCCCCAGTCCTGACAAACATTACTCTACAGTCTCTATGGATTTGGTTATTCTGGACATTTCACAAAATTTAAGTCATAGAATATGTGACCTTTCTGACTCACGTCTGTCATTTAGTGTAATGGTGTCAAGGTCCATCCACACTGTAGCATGTATCAGGGCTTCATTCCTTTTTACGAGTGAGTAATACTCCACTGCACGGACAGACATGATGTTTACCCACTCACCCGCTGATGAACATTTGGGTTGCTTCCAGTTCTGGACCATCACGAGTAACACTGCTGTGAATGTTCATACACAAGTTTCTGCGTGTGGATACTTGCTTTTAATTCTCTCTCGTGCATGCCTGGGAGCAGAACTGCTGAGTGAGGTGCGCACTCTGTGTTCACCTTTGAGCTTCACCTGCTTTTCATGCTCCCACAGCTTCCGATACACCCCGTGCGGCAGGTCCTTCCGCTTGGCTCTGAACGTGCTCTTCCTCAGGGTCCTGTCCTGGGTCATCTTCCCCTGAATGATGTGCTTCTCGAAGCTCCTCCCCACCCAGGGCTCCAATCCCCTTCGAAGTCCTGGAGGTGCCCACATCTACAGCTCAGACCACTCTCTTGAGCTTCAGACCCCCGTGTCCACTGCCCACTCCACTACCCCCGGGGTGGACCCCGTTTACCTGCCCCACAAGCCTGCTTCTTGGTTCCTCACCGTGTGAGGGGTTCTGGCCACCAACTGTGCAAGCTAGAAACATCACCGTCCTTCTCACCTCCCACCGCAGCCCATCTCCAAGTCCTGTCGCTTCTCCTCCCAACATTCCACCCAGCCCCCTCCACCCACACGGCCGCTGTCCAGACCGCTAGCATCACTCACCTGCATCACTGCCGCGGCCTCCACATCCAGTCCCTCCTCTCACACTGCTGGCCAAAGCTCTCTCCCAAACGTCAATCTATCCCCGTCCTGAACAAGTTTAGCTGGCTACACAGTGCCTGCAGAGTGGAGTCCAGCCCTTAGTGTGGCTCCCATGGCCCTGAAGTCCTGCTTCCTCTGCACCCCTGGGGCCTCACTCCACACCTCAGAAACTTGACCCAATTTCTCTGGGTTCCTTGGATGTGCCAGGCCCGCCCCCATCTCTCACCTGCGGGCTTGGTCTAGACCTAGTTCTGCCAAGCAGCCTCTGTGACCACGCTGGGGAGGGCACCTCACACTTGATGACTCTCATCTCACAGGTTCCCCCACCTGAGTTCCAGGAGGCCAGGATTGGGCTTGCTGGTCCCCAAGGCACTTAAATGTTTGCTAAAATTGTCAATGCAAATTGCTCCCTCAAACGTACCAATGTCCACTTGAACTAAACTCTTAGTCATTTTATTGCTCCAGAGCCTGCCACTTTCCTCCAGTGTGGAAGGAAAAGAGAAAAAAAACAAAAAAAAAGCTGTAAAACACTGACCAGCAAGAATGGCTTGAGGACTGAGGGCTCTGATTTTCGGGATGGCTTTGAAAATCACACCAGTTTCTTTTGCACAGTATTTCCATGTGTCCATTTCTGTTTTGCCTAATGGTCTAGACTCATGCAGACTCCAGACCACTATGCACAGTCATTAGGCGGCCATGGGGAAGTGGCCACACAGGAGGTGCAATGATCCCCAGAGATCATCTACTATGGGCTGTGTGCTCTGATTTAAATCTAGAAGGTCCAAGCTCAGCACGTCCTGCCAGAGCGTTGGCTCGGGTCCCGTGCACCCAGGGGTCAGGCTCTGCGTTCAGTTTACAGGAGAACGCCATCGGGGATGAAGGTGCCTCTGCGTTGGCCAGCGCGCTGAAGGTCAACACAGCCCTCACTGCTCTCTAGTAAGTCCTGACGTGCACAGCAGCCCAGGAAGCTGGCCCTTAGCCATCTTTCCACACTAAACATCCGTGTTTCCCAGGCAAGGCAGGTGGGTTTGATTTTCTTAATATTAGTGATTAGGACATCAGACATCTAAAAAATGAGAACTAGGGGTTCCGGGGGTGTCCCCCAAACTCTCCAGAACATCTGCACTTCCTGTGTCCAGATCTCTGCCTGGCATCAGCGTGGGCAGGAGATGCAGCATTCTCTGGACGCACCACAAGCCAACAACTTTCAGCACTATTTCACCAGTTTCAGCCCTAGGTCAAGGGGGTGGTGGAGATGAAGGATGAATGCGGATAGAGATGGGCTGGCGGGTGTGACGGCTGGAGGCTGCCCATCTGCAATGACTGCGTCTCCTCTTAGTCTCCAGGTGGCCTCCATTGGTGCTCCGGGGGCCCAGGCACTCGGGGAGGCCCTGGCTATGAACAGAACCTTGGAGATTCTAGAGTAAGTATTCCAGTCTCTGGCTAGAGCCTCTTGCCCACCAAGTCAAGCTGTTGACTCAGAGTGATCATATATGGGAGGAGAACATGTCCGTGGAAACTCCACAATCACTTCAATGTCTTCACAGAGATCAAGCAGCCCTGGCCTCTCCAGCTCCCTGTCACCCTCTTTTCCTGGGGGTCACTCGTGGGTCCTCTTCTCCTTGGCCTTGCCCAGGCTGAACATGTCCCCAGGCCGTTTAGGGGCCCTGGGGAGGGGGCAGTGGCCACTGACCCAGCCTGTGAGAAGATTCAAGCTCCAGCCCAAGCTCTGTGGGGCTCGGGCATGTCTGGTCCTCGCTGCCCCTGCAGTGCTGGGGTTCTAAGCTCACGTGCACCTCTGGGTGGAGGGCTGCCTCTCTGGTCTCCGCCCCTCTTTCTTTGGAATGAAAATGGAGGACGAGGGCTCCAACAGACCACCAGCTTGGGCTGGCCTCAGCCCTCCCCACGTCCTGCTCCCCAGAGCCAGTCCCTCTTCTGTGCCCAGGAGCGAGGGAGCAGCAACCTCACCCCCACGGTTGCTGAGTCCACGCTGCCTCCACCCAGGCACCCACGCTCACCTGAAGGGGTGCCGGGCACCCCTCTCAGCTGTCACTGTGCCTGAGATTGTGCCTCAGGGTTCCCGCCTTTCTTAACAGCTTAAGAGGAAACACCATCGAGGTGGCTGGAGCCAAAGCCCTGGCGAATGCGCTCAAGGTCAATTCCAGTCTCCAGAGACTCAAGTGAGTGGCTGCACAGACCTACCTGCACCTCAGAGCAGCCAGCTTCTCTTCTGGACTCTCCCTGTAGCATACTGCTTGCTTTCTGCCATAGCTGCTCCCTTTTCAAAATACAAATAGCTGACACTATAGTCATTATTAGTCAGTATTGTGGATGGGTTTGTTCCCTTGCGCATTTTCAGTCATACGTCCTCTGTGGCACCTGCACGAGACGACCTCGCTGCTTACAGACTTGGGTCTCGGGGTTAAATGCCACTTGGCTGTTGCTATGGCAGCTGTGGACCAATGAGGCCCAGAGGGGTCCCTCCAAGGGAGTGCCGTTCTGCTTCCTGGGCATGTCCTTCTGTCCTGAAGGGCTCACTGTGGCATCTCCATCTCTTCTCTGCCTAGTCTTCAAGAGAATTCCTTGGGAATGGAGGGGGCAATATGCGTTGCCACTGCACTGTCTGGAAACCACGGGCTCCGGCACATCAAGTGAGTGGGGCTCAGCAGCACCTGCCCTTTCCCACCAGCTTGGTTCACCCTTAGAAGTGCTTCCAGGTCAGGCCCTGCCTCCCCTCTGAACCTCGAAGCCAGCTGACCCCAGTCCCCCAGTAGCTCCACAGGGAACTCTGTATACAAGAGGGCCATTTGGAGCCTCGTCCATGGGAGGGACAGTGGAAGCATGCAAGTTTCACCTGGGTTTAGCGTTTCAGGTAGTGACCACCTGCTCCTTACTGATGAGGATCTTCAGGCCTCCAGCCAGTTTCTCAAGTCAAGCCCTGTCCCGATCCTTCTCTTCCAGTCTCCAGGGAAACCACATTGGAGAGTCTGGTGCCAGGATGATCTCGGAGGCTATCAAGACAAATGCTCCCTTGTGCACTGTGGAAATGTGAGCAAAACAAGTTCCTGGTGGATCTGGTAGACATATAGCTGAAAACGTTCCAACAAAAGGACTATTTCTCAAGGGTGCCTTCCTGCGGTCTGGGAATGATGCTGACCCACAAGAGTGCTGGTCTTCTGCAAGGAGGCAGAAAAGGAGCTGCCAGAGGAGGATACGAGCCCCTCTCCTGGTCCAGGGTCAGTCCGGGCAGGGGAGAGATGGACGCTCCGCTACAGCACAGAGAACAGATGGTCTTCTGCCAAGGGACTAAGGGACGGGACTCAGAGCTCAGCAAGAAGCCAGTCAGTGCCTATTTATGTCCTGGGGTCTTTAATGTGCCCCTACCTTTTCTTATCATGACTTCCCTGGATAAAATCACTCCCTCACTCTGAAATGAACTGCCATCTTCAAGCCCATGAAGAGTGTCAATTTGGCATCACTGACAGTATGATTTTTAGAGTCATATGGAAAAATCAGGAAAAATTTTTGAAGAGAAAGGAAGGCTTTAATTATAGGATTCTGGAGCAAAGACAAAAAAAGTTCTCCAAGGTTTCTGTCATCTTTCACTCATTACAAAGTCTCTCAAAGACAGAGATTATGTCCACTGTATGTCACTTGGAATCTGGCATGGTGGTTATCAATGGCATGTTAAATATCGATGTCTTCATACTTTCTGTATTAGGTTCCCCAAAGCACTTCTGCATCTACAGCTTCCCCATGAGAGCAAGACAGTCGAGCTTCCACATGGCATAAACTCCCTCAGATGCCTTTCAGTGTTTGAAGGAAAACTATTCCAAATGAACATCAGGGGGTTCTTCAACTACATAACCAAGGAAAATGGTTATGGAAGTTATAATTATCATTTCAAAACCTGAACAGTAACTATTGTTCCAAATGTTTCTTTAAAAATGAGTATTTGGGTGAGAAACATCATTGGATGATATAACCATGAATGAAATCCTACTAAGAAAGAAAATCATACAGTCTCTGAGTATTACCCCACAGAGAGGTATTTACAACAGTTCCATAAAAATGGGAGACATTCTGGGGACTTCCTTGGCATTCCAGAGGTTAAGACTCTGCGCTCCCAATACAGGGGGCATGGGTTAGATCTCTTGTTGAGGAAACTAAGGTTCCACAAGCTAAAAAAAATATATATATATGCTGGTAGAATATTTTTTTTTTAGTGGAGACATTTTGCAAATGTCACCTTGTCAAAGTGATGAAACTCCACATCACTGATGATGGGAAAAATGGACACCCTGTGCCCTCAGTGTGATGGCTGAGGAGGACACATCACTGATGTACTATTCCTGCCAGAAGTGCTTACCTGAATCTAATCATGAAGGAACAGTCAGACAAAATCCAAATTGAGGGGTAGTCTGGGAAAAACGAGCATGACCTCTTAAAAATAATCATCATGAAAAATACAAAAAGGCTGGGGCTGTTTTATTATTGCAGAGTCTTAACAACTTAAAGAGCTTTGATTGGATCCAAGACTAGAGGGGAAAGAATCAGCTATAAAATTATTTGGAAGGCAGGGAAATTTGGTCTTAAGTCTTAAATAATCTTCAACAGATTACTGGTTCTGAAAGGTATTTTTTCTGGGCATAGAATTCCAGGATGATGGTCTTTTCTTTCAGCACTTTCAAGAGGTGGCTGTATTGTCTCCTGGTTAGGACTGTTCTGGCCGAGTTGAGAACGTGACGGACAAGTCACAGCAGTCAAACGCTGGAGACAGCGGTGCCGTGCAGGAAACTAGCGCTGGAGAAGCCCCAGGGATCTCAACACAAGCCAGCCAGAGCTGGAAAGGGAGCCCCTCCCTCCTCCAGTCTCTCAAGCACCCTACTGACCATGCCTAACATGCTGCTGTTGTTCAGTCACCACGCTGTGTCCGATTCTTTGCGACCCCATAGACTGCAGCATGGCAGACCTCCCTGTCCCTCACCATCTCCCAGAGTTTGCCCAAGTTCATGTCCATTGAATTGGTGATGCCCACCCAACCATCTCATCTTCTGTTGCCCCCTTCTGCCCTCAAGCAGGGTTGACAAACAACAGCTTCACTAGCATACAGCAGCCCAAAAGATGAATTTGAAGCTGAGGCAATAAATGGATAACCAACACAATGGGACTTGGGGGGTCATTTTTGTATTCCATGTTGGACAAACATGCCCTGTGTCTTCAGGGTCAGCGATGTTTTCTTCTGCAGTGTCTAATCCGCTCTTGGTTTCCCTCTTGGTTTTTAAACCTCCAGCAGTTCTGAAAGTCTAGAGACTTTCCATCTTCCACATCTCACAGCCTGCTCACGCTTTCCTGTTGTCTGAGTATATGGAATACAGTCAGAATTGTCTGTCCTTTTCCACTAACTGACTGGCCTTTCTGGGTCATTTCTTGACTTTTCTTACACCTGGTAATTTTTGATACCAGACACTGAAAACTTTCTCTTGTTGGGGACTGATGATTTTTATATTTCTTAAAATAGTCTTGAGCTTCATTCTGGGACACAATTACCTAGAAACAGTTGGACACATCATCTGTGACTTGGGCAGGGTTCCCATGTTAAAGCCCATCAGAAGAAAGATCACATGAGGGAAACAAATACATTTTTTTTTTTTAAAACAGAAGTCAGGTCAGATTCAGCTAAACCACAGCTGTAACATCCAAGAAGATGCAACTTGTGCTTAAAAGCCATGGCTTCCAAGTAGGTTCACGTGACTCCCAACACACTTACTCCCTAGTCAGCTTATCAAAGATGGGATAGCTCAAATTAATGGTGAATTAATTGAACACTGAATGTTTACAAAAAAAAAAGAGTAATCTCTTATGTAAAATTTAGGGAAAGACAGAAAAAAAAGCAAAGACAGAAATAATTATCACATAGCCTCCTACAATTCACATGTCCAGTAATAATCAATGAACTTTTCTTGAAGAAGAATTTATATGTTATAGGTACAAATAATTATACTTTCAAATAAAAATAGTATAAAAATATGGTGTAAAATACATTTATTGAGATAAAGAACTTCCCAAGTCTTCTGATTTTATAATTGAAAAGTAAATGAAAACTCCTCTGTGCTTGTTCTGTGTATTAACAAAACCAAAGCAAAGCAAAATCCACATACCTGTCACTTCTTGCGTCACAAAAGGGAAATTCTTCTAGTGCTATTCTATTAAATTCAATATGGTTTATTTTTTTAAGTCAGAAACATGAATACGTACCAACACTTTTCCCTTAATTTCCCCCTTCCTATGGAGGAACATCAGCCTTCTGAGAGAAAATGAAGTGTGCATGATCTGGAGCATCTCTCTGTTACCTGATCTTCAAGGAAGGCTGGTTTTCATATGAATTAGCTACTTTCTTTCAGAAAACTTTAGTTAGTAAAATACATTTAAAGCTTGGTATTGTGAATGTGCAGAAGAAGGAAAATAAGACTACAGAGTGAATTAAACCCTAGACTCAAAAAATGATACAACATGAATGTCCTGACTGCCCTAAAGTTCCTGAAATGAGTCCTGTGCCCAGTTTCAGCCCCAAGTCTGGGAAGGTCCCACTGACTTTCAGAGAAAAAGTGTGACAAACATAACAGCCAAGATTTACATGGTGTTGGCTGTTATTTCTCAAAAGTTTTTGCCCTATGGATGTGAATCACTAGGAATACATGCATTTCCCAAGTTTTAGGAGACAGAAAAGGCCAAAAAAAAAAAACAAAAAACTCCTCTGTGGGGCTGGCTCCGGTTCCTGTTTAAGCTTTGGAATGTGTGCGCAACACCCAGGAAACTAAACCAGAAACAGGCTTTGCTTCATTAACAAGTCCAGCTGGCTTATCCAACAAAAGCCTCTTTTCTTCTGCCTCCTCAATCTCCCCTTTCCCTACAAATCTGAGGGTTTTAATCTGCCTAGGCCCCTCGGCAAGAAGGTCAGAAGTCACTGTCACTCTCATCCAGGGGCTCAGGTTTCCGGCCTCTTCGACTGGGCTTAGCTGGTGAGAGTGCCACGCTCTCATCTTCCAGATCGTCGTCTTCTTCGTCATCCTCCATGTCAATCTCACTGTCCTCCAAGTCTTCCTGCAGAGGAGACAGTGAGTACAGCTGAGGGGTCCCTCTGGTTGCTGATGTCATGTCAGCAAAGACCCTACCTTGCTTTTTCACTAGCAGCTCAATAACCAGCAAAACCTATGTGAAGGGAGAGCTTGGAAGAGAAACAGTGAGACTGTGGGGCATAAGAACAGGGTCAGGGTCTACAGACTGCTGGCTGGGATAGTAACACATGCGTAAGTGTGTCCTTAAACAGCCGCATGTGAGCTAAGGCTGGTGCTGCAGGTGGTTTTCCTTCTTCTGTCTCAGGAGCAGCATGGATCTGATTGTAAAGGCCCAGAGCTCCCTCCACACACCCCCCATCACAGAAGGCAGCCAGGAGGACAGGGGCTTGGAGAGAGGGAGGGGGGCTTACTTTGGCTTTTGGATGGAAAGCCACTCAGGAAATGGGTGTAAGGAGCAAACTAAAAGAATCATTCTCTCTCTCTCATCATCTAAATGAGGGTCACCAACTCAGCCAGCTTTTTCAAATTACAGGTCCTGTACCCCTGGGGAAACCAGGATGGTCGGTCACTCTATACAGACCATTCCCACCAACGCACAATTGCCCTCTGTTTGAAAAAACACTCTAACATGTAACCTATCCTCCTCCACAGCTACTCAGTCCTGCTCTCCGTGGCCTCACAGCAAACCCCTAAGCGAGTTCTGAGCTCACACAGGCCCTGCTCTCTGCCCTCTCAGCACCCTCCAGCCATGCTCTCCCAGCGAGGCCCCCAAGACTGAAACAGTCAATGGACTCAGATGCTACAGGTAATTAGTTCTCCATTCCTGACCCGAACACCAGACTGCTCCCCCACCGAGACCCTCTTCTGTGCTCGCCCCCCTCACTCTCAAATCTTCTCAGCCAAGCGTGCAGACCTGCTCTCCCTCCCTGACCACTGTGATACAGAGTTGGCTTGGGCCTCTGCTCTTCCTCTCTACTTCCCTTCCCAAGCAGTCATGTCACCCCTCATGGTGGTCTTAGGGAGGTTCCCCCAAATTCAGTCTCCAGCTCAGACCTTAAGTCCAGACCTGAATACAACTGGCTTCTCAGCACTAGCATGTGGATGCCGAGTAGATGACTGACTCTGAGAATGACCAAACCAGACCTCCTGTCTGCTCTCCAGGCCCCACCCTGAGGTCTGCCCCCCTTGGAAAATGAAAACTACACTTTCAGCCAATGAAGTCACAACCAGGGCATTTCTAACACTTCATGTCCAATTAACAAAACCTGATGGTTCTTAGCTTAGAAACACCACTTCTCAACAGTCTCCTGCTACCGCCACTCTCACTTCTGAATCAGACCCCTGCAAATGCCCTCCACCCAAATCTTCACAGCCCCTCCCCAAGCACAACCCTCCCCCTACCACTCAGGCAGAACCCTCATCCCTGTCACTCTTTCCCCTGAACCTGCTTTATTTTTCTTACCATGATGACACTGGACATATCTGATTGATGACCATTAGAATATAAGCCTCATGGAGGCAGGGGATTGGTTCTGTTCACTGCTGTATTCCCCAACCCCTTACAGTGCCTGAGACATAACCAGCACTCAACAAGGACCCGGCGAGTGAATGAGTGAACAGGTGAAGGACAGACCCAAGGTGTTGCATGGAAACAGCCTCCTTGAAATTAACAAGCAGCAATAGGCACAGAGGAGACTTTAAACTACAAATAAAGTGATCGCTCAGTAAAGTAGAAAGCTATACCAATGGTCAAGCAAATCATAAGAAGCAGGGCCAGACAGTGCTCCCCAGGCCACACTGCTGGGACCCAATCAGTGGATCTTTTGTAGAAGAATATCGGCCTAGGCTCTGTGTGAGGGTGCTAGTGTCATGCTCCAGACACACACGGCATTCACCTGGACGGAAGGTCTCTGACTCCATCAATCCAATCACCCTTCACCTCCTGGGCCTCACAGCCCTGCCAGGGACTCCACAAAGCAGCAGGTCCAGAGCAGTGAACGGTGCAGCCCCAACAATTGGAGCCCATTCCGTTGGCCCCCAGTCAGCTTTTCATTCAACAGCGCTGAGGGCACTGGCAGCCTGATGTCACAGCCTTTCCGGGCCCTGGTCTCGGGAGAGCCTGCCTGCTATATCCCCTCCCAAGAATGGAGCTGGTCCTGACCCCAGCCCTCAACAGCAGCCCTTCTTTTCTAGGATACGGTTCAGAGGCCTGACCACCTTTCCTGTCTCAGGCCAGCATCCACCCCTCCTCCTCATTAACACAGGGACCTGTAGGTAACTCCACCACCCACTGTGGAAACCACGTAAGTGGCTTCCTGCCCCCGGACACTGGGCATCACTCTTGGGGGAGGTTCTCTGCTGGCCCCGAGCAGCTCACACACACACAAATGGATGAGGCGAAAAAGAAAACCAACCTGCTTCTTGGAGCTGGAAGTCGTGCATTTACCTAAGAGAGCTGGTGCTGCTTCCATCTTTGGAAAGCAAGAATGGAAAGAACAATGAGAAGGAAAAAACAAAAGTAGGGCAAGCATGTTCATTTGAAAAGAAAAGAAATGAGCCATCAACAAGCAAAGACGAGAGGTCAGCTCCCTGGGAGGCCAAGCTCTTGCCACAGACCCAGCAACGTGCCAGGTTGAGAAGCAGCTCCTTAAACTAAACTGGTGAGATGCACTCAGCTCCTTGGTCAACCTAGGTGATGAGGCTGGCCCAGGACCACCAAGACCAGGGCTGCTCAAGGGGCTGGTCAGGACTCACGTCATCGTCCGTGTCTCCACCCTGCATTGTGCCCACGACGCGCTTGCTGGATTGTCCTGAGAAAAGAGAAGTGTGAAGAGAGCATGAGAACCTTGTGAGACAAGGCAGGAAGTGGGCACCAAGATCTGCTTTCCTTTAGGAAAGTGGGAAGAAGAATTCTCACTAAAAAGTTGACTTAGGGAGCATCCAGCTACTCAGAAGTGTACCAGTAACAGATCTTCTGCATTTCCACCTCGGAAAAGAGGAAAAAGGCCATGAAATCTGAGCACAAGTCATGGATCGGAAAAATAAACATGCATCCTATCAACGTCCCAGGGGAAAAATAAAATCACTGAACCCTGTTACTAGAATACATGGAGGTTGTGCTCTCTGCTGAAGAGACAAGTTCTCGCTCTGTGGACCAATGTCACTTGTACTAGGATCCACATCTGTGCTTCCAGAAGTAAAAACAAAAGTAAGTATCACTCTAATTTATCCTTCAAAACAGCATCATTACCAAAGCAGTCTCCACTCCTCCTCTGGAAGTCAGTGCCATCTACGTGTGACTTCTGCAAAAACTCAAGAGCCATCCTTCCCACGTAGAGGCAGAGAGGTGCACTCCCCTGAAGGCTGAGAAAGGCCCACGGTGATGTATGTGTGTGGTGTGTATATGTGTGTGTGTTTGCATGTGCCGAAAGGCAATTTAGAAGGACCCAGCCCCAAGCCACAACCCCTGTAGGTAGGGAGTGGGACATGAGGAAGGCCCCAGGGAGGCACCCACATTCACTCCATGTTATTTTACTGCTTGAATCTTTTGCAGTGAGAAGGCAGAAACTAAAAACAGGTTTTAACAGCAGAGATGTTCACATAGGTCCCTTATCTGTGCATTAATTCTCTTACCATAAAGGACGTAATTGCACTAAGACCAGTTTGGACCCAAAAAGGAAAGAATTCAGCTCCTCAGTGGAGGCAATATGTTCCGTGGCCTCTGTGAGAAGCACCAATCTACAATAAGTCTGGCTCTTCTTGGGGCCAAAGGTAAGAGTATCAGCAGCAAAGATGACCACTAGGCAGGTTAAGAGCAAACTCCTGATAAACAACAGGGCAGTGTGCGTACGGGCCTGGAAACCCAGCAGCCCTGACTGCAGTCCGGCTGCGGTTTCCTGGGCCCGGGGGCAGGGCAGGGGGTGAGCGAGCGAGGCTGGGGTACCTTGCATGAGCACCTCCATGGCCGTATGCAGCTTGGACAGCCGTCTCTCTTCCATGTCACTGTCGGATTCATCGTCCTCCTGGATGTCAATGTCAGAGTCATCATTACCTGGCAGGGACACAAGGAGGCAAAACAAAAAGGCAGCTCCATCATTCCCTCTGAAACAGCCCCCATCCAGTGAGGCTCTTGTGAAGAACCATCTGTGCCGCTCAGCTTTTCCTGGGATCATCTGATTCTACACGTCTCCTGGGAACTGCCTACAGCTCCTTAGGGAAGGGTTCATGCAGATAAGGATAGGCTGGTTTTTTTTAAAAAACAGTTTTTCAAAACAAGAAAAAAGTGGGTCAGTTATATCAGAAACACTATTCCAGCATGTAAAACTAAAACACTGACAGCCAGCTGTCAAGGGAGTTGGAAGTTTTTTGTTAGTTTGGGGGTGGGGGGGCCATTCTCTGTTCAGCAGAACAAGCCTGGAGGCAAGAAGGAGGCGGGCCAGGAAGAGCCTGAGGGGCTGCCTGGGACAACTGCCTGCCTGGTAGCTGGCAATGAAAACTGCGGCCTGTGACGTTCTTAACTGGAGAAAATTCACTACAGAGATAAAGAGAGGTGGTTCTCAATGCAACAGCCTTTTACATTAATTTCCTAAACAACCCTCTGGAGTCTTGTGCAGCTCGAACATTTCCTGTAAACCTATAGGAGTTTCCACAGTGGGGAGGAAAAGACGTCACTGCCCAGCCAGATTTCTTTGTGCACAGAGAGTGGCAGAGGTTTCAGAAGGATGGAACTGGAAGAAAGCAGTTGCTGTTCTGATCACTGATTCTTAAGACATTTTGGAAGTAGAGTCGCTGTTCATGTGTGACAATGCTTTGTTTATGAGCCCCTGCTGTAGAGAGTGATGACGCGGCAGCTGCGTCTGGGTGGGCTCTGAGGAAACGCTCGCTGCTTCCATCCACCCTGGAGGAAAGCGCTGTGCCCTACAGCACGGAGGCCAGAGCCAGCAGCTGCAGAAAGTGTCAGTAAGAGCATCCTGAGAGGACCTCAGCACAATCAACCCAAAAACTACCCCCTTATAAAAGCCACTACAGAGAACGGGATTAGACATTAATACAAATAAATGACCATAAAGTGAAATCACTCTTCAGATCAGTTCACTTTTTACTTCCTCCAGAAAAAATCTGACATTAAGTCTTCACCCCATGCAATACAAAGCAAATGATATCATGAATTTTAACCCAACATTAAAACAAGTACCTCAGGCTCAGTATGATTTCTTCTGACAACTCGCAGCAATGGACTGAGGGTCAAGCACGTAAAGTTAATGGTGCTAACACAAAGATCACTGAAGTCGAGCTGTCAGCGACACATTAATATGAGTACAGCAAACAAGTGTGCCGGGAAGATTCACCAAGGAAAGAACAATCTTTGCTGCTGGGACAAGTAGAAAGCCACATGCAAAAGAATGAAGCTGGACCCCTACCTCACACCACACACAAAGGATTAACCTGAAATGGGTCAGAGATCTAAATGTAAGAATTAAAATGATAAAACACCTAGAAGAAAACACATGGGTAAATCTTGGTGACCTTGAATTTGGCAGTTTCTCAAACATGTCACTAAAAGCACAGCAATAAAAGAAAAAAAATTAATAAACTGGACTAGATTAAAACTCTGTAACAACAAAGGACAGCATCTAGAAAGTGAATGACAGAAAATATTTGCAAATCACATAAGGGTCTACTATCTAGAACATATAACTCAATAATAAAAAGATAACCCAGGGACTTCCAGTGGTTAAGACTCAGTGCTCCCAATGTAAGGGGCCTGGGTTCAATCCATAGTCGGGGAACTAGATCCCATATGCCACAATCAAGACCCAGGGCAGCCAAATAAATAAATAAAAATAAACATTTAAAAAAAAAAGTAAACCAATTAAAAAATGTGCGAAGGTCTAGAATAGATCTCTCCAAAGAAGATATACAGGTAGCCAAAAGCAGACAAAAAGACGTTCCATTTCATTAGCTATTTCGGAGAAACTCAAATCAAAACCACAGTGATTAAACTACAGGCAGGTTTTTTTATAGGTTTCTTTTAGATAAGCACTGTCCAACAGAAATATGCCAGCCCCAGATGCCATTTAAGATTTTCCAGTAAGTACATTAAAGCAAAAAGAACAGGTGAATTAATTTCAATAATGCTCTATTTAACCCAATATACCTAAAACATCATTTCAATAAGTAGCCAACATTAAAAAATGTTAATGAGTAATTTTACTTCCCTTTTATATCAAGTCTTCAAAATCTGGTGTGTATTTGCTACAAACAGCGCATCTCAATTTGGCCTGGCCCTGTTTCAAGCTTTCACACCAGCTCGTGGCCAGGAACAGCCGGGGCTTCAGGGCAGGGAGCTCCCTTGGCTCCTCCTCCATCGCTGGGCGCTGGGGCAGCGCTTGATACGGCGGGCAGCCGGGAACGTGCGTGACAGGCCTGAGTATCTGCTCTCCACTCCATGACAGGGCTACTCAGTTGCGTTCAAGACATTCCTGGGTCATTTTATAAAGTCAGAGGAGGCCTTCAGTTCCTAACACTACAGTGCTTGAATTCTACAGAGTATCTAGTTAGACACTTATCACCAGCAACAAGGTTTAAGACGCTGGTGGGGAGATGAAGTGTCGCCCTTGACTTTTATTACCGGGCATCTGAACAAAGTACTTAGTCTTTTTTAACCTCTGGGGCCTGTGGCACTTTTCCATCTCTAATTACTCAGCCATTCTCTTCCTCAAACCCCTCACTCCAAACCCCCAAGCCAAATCTTACGTGACTTCATTTCTTGCTTAACAGAGAAGACGGGCTCCACTGGATGTGAGCCCTCAAGCATACGACCCGCCGTCCAGCTCATCGAACTGCCTCAGCTTGAGCCCTGTGTGTCCATGCGCTTCCTCGCTCAGCGAAGCTCACCCCTGGCCCTAGGCCCTGGCTGCCGGCCTTTCCGGCCTGTCCCTCTCTCGTAGCTCCCATCTTCCCGGTGCCTTCGATTTGATCTTTGCTTAGACAGTCTCCTCATGAGGTCTCCCCTGACTCCTTTTTACAACTGCAATTCCATGGCCCCCTCTCCATGTCCTGACCTGCTCCACTTTCCCCCAGGGGCATTTTTCACCTCCCACAAACAGCTTGCTTGTTTGTCCCCAAGCATGTCGCCAGCCCAGAAATCCATTTAAGGCAAGGATCCCCGTTTACTGTCCACTGAAACGTCCTCAGCACCCAGAACCTATACTCAATAATGCTTTGCTGGGTTAAATCAGCTACCCACAGAGTAACCTGAACAAAATGATCTCTTCCAGATCTTGGATTTTGCTCATCCTCACCTCCGATTCAAGTCTATGTACTTTAGACTGTTCTGTTCAGAGGACTTTCTCACAGATAAAGAAGAATTCAGAAAGTCTTCCTTTCTACCTCTCCTCATTTATATCCCTGGTGGGCTTCCCTGGCGGCTCAGACGGTAAAGAATCCACCTCCAATGCAGGAGACCTGGGTTCAATCCCTGGGTCAGGAAGATCCCCTGGAGAAGGGAATGACTACCCACTCCAGTATTCTTGCCTGGAGAATTCCACGGACGGAGGAGGCTGCCAGGCTACAGTCCATGGGGTTGCAAAGAGTTGGATATGGTTGAGTGACTAACACTTTCACTGTCCACTATGGACAATGTTCCCACATGTGGAGAAAAGCAAAGACAGACAGGGAAGCTTAGGTGGCTCAGGAGGAGCAGAACTGAGAATGGTGCTTCATACGCTATTTTCCTAACTTCTTTGCTCACCACAAGCTAATTAAGCATTACCCTTCATTAGGCTCGTTTAAACTGAAAATTACTTTTCCAGAAAACACTAAATCACACATACTCATGAGAATCTCTGTCTTTCATGAGATCCCAAATCTATGGATCACAAACTTAAGGTCTGAGTTCAGAAGAATAAAGCAGGCTCAGTGAGAAAGGTCTCGCTGTGCTGGTCCAGGGCAGAGCGGGATGCAGGGGAACCAGGCGCTTACCTGTGCTGGGCCTCTCGGAGGGGGACACACTCCATGCAGGCTTGTCACTGAGGGCCGCATCAGGCACTCCTGGCTGACCTGGAACCATAAAGGTGAGGGGCTGCTTTGGCTAGAGAGGCCCAGGGAATTTTCTAAGCTCACCCCTATAAGGATTCCCCAGCAGACCCTATGCTCCTTCCAGACAGAGTTTCCTAAGATTCAGGAGAGAGAGAGGCACAGAACAAGTACAACAGCAAAGAGACACAGAAGGAAAAGACAGAGAGAGCAAGCACGCACGCCTGCTGTCCCAGGGACACTGCAGCGAGCACTCGAGAGAAACCATCACAAGAAAAGAGAAATAAGCGAGAAGAGAGTCTCGGAGATGCAGCCACCAATCCCACGTGACGATCGGGTGCTGCGACTGCTCCCAGGGCTGACCTGACACCCTGGTAAAGTTTGTGGATGAAGTGGGCTGACCAGCCTCAGGGACAACTCCTTCCCAGAATCGAGGTCTTACATGTAGGTCGCCCCCATTTCTCTGTAGGTGAAAGCCTAGACAAAGGACTCTGGACCTTGGGGGGACACGTGTTGGGTGGACTAACCTTCAAGCAGATGCACTTTACCTCATCACAATACTTGCTGCCCTTCAGTTTGCCCTAAAATAAGGAACCCTACAGACTGCTGAAAACAAGATTTCTTCTATAGTTATATATAACTCCAACTAATAACTATCATTTAAATAGGGGAAAATAAGATTTCAGTTGGCATGAAAACCAAATGTGCTTTAAATGGTATGTAATTTTTAACACACTCTCAAGCTCCTAAATTAAAATGGTAGTGATATAAAAGTTGTGAGAAAATCACCTTTTGAAAAAATAAATAAAATGTGCATGTTAAGTTTTCCAAGGCTGAAAACACTAGTCCAGAAAAAGCACATCTGCTTAAACGTGTGGACTTACTTCCGCTCTTGAGCAGACGTTTTCCTTCCTCCTTGAGCTTGTTCTGCATCAGACGGAGAGTGTTCTCAGTTTCCTGTGGAGCATGAGAAGCAACAGCCAGGAGAAAGGACCCTTTTGGACTGTTTTATTCTTCTTACCATGTAAGTACTGCTAGACTTGTGATGCAAAAGCAGAAAAGACTGAGCTACAGGAAGGGGAGGAAAACTGACACCGCAGAGGAAACCTGATGCTCCTTCTCTGTCATCCCCCAGGGAGCTGGATGAAAGTGGGGGGCTCCCAGAAAGGACACATTTGGCCAAGACGGGCCTGACCGGCCTCCAAACCCACGCTCCTTCCATCACACCTAACTGCCTCTGAAGAAAAGTGACGACACAATGAAGTGTCTGCCACCCGTGCTGGTGTGGGATGTGGACACAGAAACAGATGCATCAACTCTGGGCCTTTTGCTAATAAAATAAAGCAGGAATTTTATCATTTTCCTCCCCTAATTCTAGCTCTGAGAGGTGCTAAATGGTGGAAGTGATCAAATAGGAAAAGAAAGAAAGAAAGACTCATCTTAATTCCTAGGATATTTTTTTTAAAAGCCAATACTTGAGTTAGGTTATAAAATGTGACCCTGATTATTCTCAAGAGAAAATGGGAGAGGAAATCAGCTTTAAAAAAGGTGCTGTTGTTCTAAACATTACAAAGGAAGCCATGTCCCACACTGAGATATTCTGAGGGACCAGGTACCAGAAGCCCAGGAGCAGGTGTGAGCCAGCAGGTGCTGCCAAAAGGACAGTGGGCAGGGAGGGGCCCCTCAGAAGTCACCCGGGGTGCCCACTCGTGTCCTGAGGCATGTTCTTCCATATGTTCTCCGAGCCCGGGGTAGCCCAGAACACAGTACAAAATGGTCAGCTTATTTTCACTGTCTCTTTACTGCTCTTTCCCAGATGCTCAGTGTTTAAGACTTCCAGAACCCCAGGGTTTTTCACTGCCCTCAAAATGTGCCTGTCCTGGGTCCCCCGTTCCTGCCTCTGCCATATAGCAAGAGTGGCAACAGGTTCCCTGTCCAGATAAACGTGTCCAGATGAAGGTGATAAGCCACTCACAGCCAGCTCTCCGGGACAACTAAGTAGCGTCACCTAATTCAAATGTCCAGGTTTGTAAGAAGGCAAGGATGACTTTTATACCAAAAGTTGTTAAGGACAGCAGGGGAAAGGGAGGTTGCAGACCAGTTTCGCTGTGAACACAGATTTCAAAAGATCATTCTTGGGTTAAGGAGAAATATTCTTAGAGGATAAGGACAATTCAAAATGACAGCGATCCAACTTCCTTAGCTCTGATTCCATATTTATCAACTGATGCTGGGACCTGAAATACTCTTTCCTAAATGACTTTATACACTGGGATGAGAGGAAGCTTGTAAAATAACTGGTCAGGTTCAAGGTCATACCTGTATCCCACAATACTCAATAAACTACAATTCTTTATACAGAAGTGTCTGAAAAGCCAGTCTGGATGATTCAATTAACCAGGGCTTGAAAATCTTCCAGTGAATTAACCAAGCAAGTTTTTAGATCTGTCTTCAGGACATATTACATAATTTGTGGGACTCAGTGCAAAATAAAATGCAGTTTAGAATTATTAACAATTTCAAGACAACACAGCATTAAAGCCAGCCCAGGAATTTCTAAGCCCACAGTTATAACCAACTGCCCAGGTCATGTGGCGGCCCTGTCTGTAGCCCTGACTGACCAAATCTGCCATCCAAAACCTGACAGCTTTTGAGTTCAGGCTACACAACCAGGAAAACAGAAGAACCACATGAGCCTTATCAGGGAGAAAAAACACTCATCTGATATTCTTTTTCACTTTCATGATGCTCTTTATAAACCAGCAAGTCAACAAGTACAAAGTAACACACCAGAACTGAACCAACGGTCTGTGCAGAAGGGACTCGGCACTCACCTCAAACCTCTCCTGCTCCATCCTGTGATAATCCTCCAGCTGCTGCTCCAGATAAGCCAGATTCCGAAACTTCTCAAGATAAATTTCATACTGCTTCTGCAATTCCTCCTCAATCTTCTCATATTCATCCATAAACGCTGGCCTAGAACAACAAAATGAAAAAAAAAAACAAAACGGAAAGATTAACCAATACACAAACATATAGTAGTTTGAAATTGGTATTCAGAGCTTCAGATTCCATCCTGGCTTTCTCTGGAAAGCCTTTAACTGGGGGAGGTTCTTCATTCTTTTAAGGAAAGCTAATTTCTCCTTTTCTCTCCCCACCCCCCACAAAAGGAAGATACATTTAATCAAATATTAAGATGGGCTCTTTGTAAAAGCTAGAAAAAATCTTGAAAGTACTAAGAATAAAATTAAAATGATGCCTAATTTCATCACTAGGTGTTACCACTTAAAATTGACATTCATCCTTCCAGACTTTTTGGTGCATAGGTATGTACAGAAATGCATTTCTTTTTAACAAACATCAAGCATGCATCTTAAAATGAAGCGCTAAGGTCTTTTTTTCTCACTTGGTATAGCACAGATTGCAATACAGAGTTAAAAATAATCACAAACTGTACACATCTCTAAAAATCAATAAATTAAATGTATGCATTATCTTGTGCGTGCATGCTAAGTTACCCATGGACTGTAGCCCGCCAGGCTCCTCTGTCCATGGGATTCTCCAGGCAAGAATACTGGAGTGGGTTGCCATTCCCTCCTCCAGGGGATCTTCCTGACCCAGGGATCGAACCCATGTCTCTTAGTCTCCTGCATTGGCAGGAGGGTTCTTTACCACTAGCGCCACCTGAGAAGCCCCATGCATTAACTTTAGTTCAGTTCAGTTCAGTCGCTCAGTCGTGTCCAACTCCCTGCAACTCCATGAATCGCAGCACGCCAGGCCTCCCTGTCCATCACCAATCCCTGGGGTTTACTCAAACTCATGTCCATCGAGTCGGTGATGCCATCCAGCCATCTCATTCTCTGTCGCCCCCTTCTCCTCCTGCCCCCAATCCCTCCCAGCATCAGGGTCTTTTCCAATGAGTCAACTCTTTGCACGAGGTGCCCGAAGTATTGGAGTTTCAGCTTCAGCATCAGTCCTTCCAATGAACACCCAGGACTGATCTGCATTAACTTAGTTGGGCATAATACTCTGCTGTCTGCTTGTTCCAAAATTTAATCAGTCCCCTAAAAAAAGAAACAAAGGCCGCTACAAATTAAAGCTCAGTTTTAATTAAACCAAAATATAAAAACTTAAAAACAGTGACTTCCAGGTTACTAAGACTCCCTGCTCCCAATGCAGGCCTGCGTTCTATCCCTGGTCAGGGAACGAGATCCCACAAGCCACAACTCAAGATCCCACATGCAGCAACTAACACCCAGTGCAGCCAAATAAATAATAAGTTTTTAAAAGCTTAAAAAAAAAATGTTTAAACTGGTTTGCTTAATTTTCTATTTTCTATTGTTGGTCTTAAAGAGAAACAGCTCTTCTTTTAAAAATATAAACAGATAAACTAGAAAAATAATTCACAATCTCTTGGAGTAGAGGAAAACAGAAATTTTTCTGTTAAAAAGATATGACGCTTAACAAAATTGAATTTAAACCTGAAAGGCAGAATTTTTTAATGAGACAAATCTATCCAGTGACCCTGACTCCAGAGGCAGAGGGGCCAGGGCATGCCCTTGGGAAGGAGGGAGGCTGATGCTCTCTGGGCTACTGTCCGCTGTCCCCAGGTGCTGCCCTCCCGCAGGTCTCAGGACAGCAGCCAGAGTGCAGACCAGGTACCAGTGTCCCAAACAAGCAAGGCACGTTCAGAGTGGACGCAGCAGCCGGACAGAGGAGGAAGGAGAGAGAAAAATAATGTAAGAATGAAAAGGGCCGAAGAGCAACAGGCAGAGCAAGGAAAAGCAGATACAGAGCTGGGGGGAGGGAGGGAGTGGGGAGATGGAAGCGGAGAGGGAGGGAGAGAAAAAGAAAGCGGTGGGGGGAGGAGAGAGTGAACCCCAAGAAAATGTGAGGCACATGCTGGAAAGGGAAGAAGATGAATTACCAGTGAGGAATTACACAGCTCTAAAACCAACTCCAACCAAGAAGCAAGAGTGTTTCTATTCCTACCTAATTTATGGCAGGACACAGGTCTGGGGAGCCAGGCCTTGTATAACAACTTTCACCATCTGGATTTACTTACTTTGCCTTGCATTCCAAGAAGCTACAAAGGCTAGAAGTGGGGATTCAAGAATAAAGCAGTTTTCCAGACATACCGAAAGCAGCCAACAGACTGAGCCCAACAGTGTGTTTGTTGGAACAAGAGACACACGTACAGTCTGCAGCAGAGGCATCCCACAGCCTGAAAGGCTAACCCCACTGACCGCACACTCCCTCGGTCTGCTTTAACTTCCAGGGACAGCCCTCCACTCACGCTCCCGCGTTCACACCTACCTGACGCTCTGCAGAGTCTGCAGTCGCTTCCGATTTCTTTCCAGCTCTAATTTCCTCTTTTCGATTTTGGCTTCTAAGTTAGCTTCATCAGAGGCCACGTTATTGAGCAGGTCTTTTGTCTTCTGAACCTGTGCCTACATTTAACAGGAAACGAAGGAGACAAGGTCCAGTGAGGACCTCGATCCAACTCTGAAAGAGTGGGGTTTCTCAAGCCCTCAGACCCAGCAAGACCTCAGGAAACAGAAACAAAGGGAAGCAAACAGATCAAACCCTCCCCCAAGCCACCGCTCACTTAACCCACTATTTCCAGGAGGAACAGCACAGAGGCCCAGAAAAAAAATTATCCATTTATTTTTCTTCCATGAGAAGGTGTTTCTGCCCAGGGAAATGAACGCAGGTAGAAAGAATCCTGCGTAGGAAAGTATCCTACGCAGAGCCTGAGACCTGTCGGCTCACCTGTTGAGATGGTTACACCTCACCTGCAGGTAGGTGATGGTCTGCCTTCATCTACCTGGTTCAGGCTTCTCCCAAGCTACAAAGAACTGACTTACAGAACAGATGCACAAACAAGCTTTATCTTAGCTTCACTTCCCTGGAATTTGCTCAAATTCATGTCCACTGAGTCAATGATGCCATCCAACCAACTCATCCTCTGCCACCCCCTTCTCCTCTTGCCTTCCATCTTTCTCAGCATCAGGGTCTTTTCTGATGAGTTGGCTCTTCCCATCAGGTGGCCAAAGTACTGGAGCTTCAGCTTCAGCATCACTACTTCCAGTGAATATTCAGGGTTGATTTCTTTTAGAATTGACTGGTTTGCTCTCCTTGGAATTTATACATGTGTAGTCTGTTTACCTGCAGGCCTCTGAAATGCTATGTGGTCCACACAGAAATTGCCTAAGGAGACTAGACACATTCCACGACTCTCAAGAGTAGGTGCACACTTGGAAGCAGTCACTTTCATTGGTAATTTATGGCTTAGTTTTTGTCTAAGTTCACTAACCATTTCCAAGGTGCCTTCATGAAGACTAACCTCACACCTAACCACTGACCTGTTGAAGATACTCGCAAAGCCCAAGCAGAGACCCGCGTTTACGCTCAAAGGAAGACAAGGTGGGTCTCCGTTTTGAACAAACTACTCAAGCTAGTGGCAACCCTTCTCTGAATCAGAGTCAGATTAAAACCTAGTGAATCATCTATCTGATCTCAAAAGTTAAGTTTTTTAAAAGGTTCTGGGACGTCCCTGGTGGTCCAGTGGCTAAGACTCTTTGCTCCCAATGCAGGGGGCCCAAGTTCGATTCCTGGTCATGGCACTGGATCCCACATGCAGAAACCAAGATCCCACATGCTGCAACTAAGACCCAGCTCAGCTCAATATTTTTTTTTTTTAAAGGCTCTTTTTAAAATAAATGGCCTATATTTTATAATCTCTTTTAAGTGTCCAGGTTGTTTCATTTTTTTTGAATTATCAAATATCATGGATATTTTCCAACAATGAAAAGACACCTTAAGAGATTTTCACCAAGAAATGAACTGTGCCCTCATTTGGCTGTTGCATTTGTTAATACACTTAGTAGAAAAGGCACACTTATGCCACGCTAACTTGATTCGGCCAGAACACTGACAAGCACAAGAATGCTATCATTAAAATTTTGTTTTAAATTAATAATCACAAACTTACAAAAAGCTGAAGTATAATACAAAGCATTTTGCCCTGACGTAGATGAGAGTGAGCCACTGACTTGATGCTCCATCACTTCTAAATACTTTAATGTGTATTTCCTGCAAATAAGAACTTCCTCCTATACATCCAGACAGAAGACGAACCCTGATGCACAACCTCATCCAACCCACAACCCACTGTGGAGTCTTCAACAGCAGACAGCAGTGACCCTGAGCATTCATTCAGTCACCAGGTCTCCTTCGGTCTGGACAGCTCCTCAGCCTCTCCTGGATGTTCATGGCCTTTCCACTGCTGAACAGTAGGGGCCAGGGAACTTCAGAATGCCCCTCAACCTTCCTTCATCTAATTAGCTTCAGATGATGCACCCTTAGCAGAACAGCACAGATTATCACTGCGCCCTGCCTTTCAACAGGCACGCATCATACTGACCTGCTCCATCATGGAAGATGTTCACCCTGATCGCTGGATTCAGGGAATGTCTGTCAAGCTTCTCATGTATCACTCTCTTCTTCTTTGTAATTAATGAGTATCTTGAAGGGAGCTACTTTGAAACCATGTGAAAAATCTGCTTTTCATCAGTTTTCAATGTATTCATTTATCTTTTATATCTGTGAGCATTCATTCAACGGTCTATAATCCATCACTGTATTTATTTTGATGCTTAACCTGTCTCTGATGTGGCTGGGGGAAACTCATTCAGGCTGGCTTCTGTGTCCCTTTCACATTCTTTGAGTACTTCCGTGCTTTCTGGCACAAGCAGATCTTGTATTTTCTTCTCCCAGCTCTAGAATCAGTTATTTCTGCCAAGAGCCCTGCTTCCCTTTAGTGGAAAATGGCATTTAGAAACCAAGATCTGGGGGCTACGTGTGCTTGGAGCTAAGAAACATATGAATGTGTGTGTGGGTATGCATGTGTATGTACACAGATATGTCATACATAAAGTACATGTACATAAGATTTATTCCCATAACTATCTATTTATACTGAAATGCATTTAACCATCCATCAACACCTATTTCAGGGTTCGCTCTAATTTTTTCCCTTTCCATATCTGTAACCCCATCTCCGATGGTGAGAACCTTGGCTTCTGCATCTTTAACATATGCACTCATTTGGTCAAGTTGCCAATATGGAACCATCTCCCGTCTCAGCTGCCCTGCACCTCTCACCCTGCTGAGGCTCTGACTCTGTGCTGGGCTGACCAGGGAGTATCACTGTTATACGACAAGAGGCCTATAAAAACCTATCTATCTTGGAGCTCTGTACAACTCTCAGCAAATTTTGTTTTATAACTACTCCTAATTTACGTAAGGCCCCTCATCTCTGTCTACAGAATAAAATGACTGAATACCTACTATGTGCCAAAGGCTCTGTATGACAGACTGTCATAATGAATGCTCATGAGGACCCCACATGGCAGGGACTGCCATTCATCTTCTTTTATGGATGAGGAAAGAAAGGCACAGAAAGGTTAAGTAACTTGCCTGATGTCACGCGGGGGGCGCGGTTCAAGCCCAAGTAGTCTGAGTTTCTCTCACTATCTGCCTTCCAAATGAATGATTCAGATGCAATGAGCTTATAATAACTAACCATGGATGATCAGTAAAGGACGATGATCATTCTATTTATTCAGTGTTTAGAATTAAGATAACCTAGAAATAATCTAGATGCCCAACAGTGAGGAACTGGTTAAATAAGTTGTGAAGAGTCCATAAAACGTATTTACTGAAAAATTTAAGAGAATCATTAAATTAATAAAACTGAAAAAATTTTAGTAACATGAAAACGATACTAGGGGAAGATAACAGTAAGTCACCTAGCTATTCCAGAACGTGCTCTAAATTTTTCACTTCCCTACTAACACGTTCTATCTTTGTTACAAGGCCCAGCTTGCTCTGTCCTGTAAAACCAAGAACTCACTATTTCCCAGTCCTAGGCACAAAAACATTAAATAAAAGTAATCTTACCAGAATATCTTTTATTGCAATTCTCATCACTTTTTCAGTCTCATTTATTTCCAGAGGTCTGGCAACTGCTTCTGTCCTCAGTTCCTATAGGAAACAATGAAGCGAAATTTTTTTTTTAGAAGAGGAATTCTCAAAACCAATTCCCAGCTCTAGATATGGCTTATGGACTAGTTCTCAAAGTTTCATTACGGTGTGGATCTCCAATGCAGAAACACTCCTGCCACCACCTCCTCCAAGTATGTCTATGTCTGCCCATCTGGCCTCTCTCCAGAGCTCAAGGCCCCACTCTTCATCTATGGGCCCCCAGGACCCCAACACCACGGGAAGCGGAACTCGCCACTCAGAATCTTGTCTCTCCAAATCTGCTTCTTTACCTGCATTCCATTCAGAGACCCCAAACCAAGTGCAACTGAACTTCCTGTCTGAGTCCTCTGCCAGCCTGTACTATCTTCCTTATGCTCGCGGCCCTTTAAGTTGCCTGTCACTGACAACTGTACCAGTGAGAAGAGTCTACTCAGCCCTGCCCCAGCACTGACCATTAACCGTCAAGGGAGGCATCTGTGCCTATCATGGCAGTACTGGACGGTTCTGAAAGCTGGAGCTTTAACGTGCATGCGGTTATGGGGTTCCGGGAGCATCTCCTCAACCCTGTCTTGTACTTCTTTTAATCCACGGTGCACCTTGTCTTCCCGCTGGGGAGCACTACTGAGCCCGGGGAGGCGACCTCCTCAAGGACACAGAACACACAGCCTTCCTGGTCTGAGGCTGCAGTCGGTCCTCGGTGACCGTCTGTTGAGTGTACTGGATGGGAGCTTCTGCAGATCACAACTACACAGAATTTGACAAGTCCTACATCCAGGGCCTCACGGTTCCCCAAGCAACAGCTCAGCCTCTGCCTGCTTCGTCAATTCACTACAGGTTGGCGTGGAAAGAGCCCCTCAAATCCTAGTGAAGCCTCACAATGAAGCCAGGAAACACTGCTGGCAAACAGCGAGTGACCAGCTCTCATCTCTGGGTCTGAGAGGAACATGATCAGACACACATTCACCGCATGATCAACAGAAAACACGAGGAGCCTGGAACTGCCTCACTGCTTATCTAAACCAGCTGTCAGACATCACTGGCAGGTGTGTTCTGCCAAACACACGGCACCAGGTGGCAATGTATCCAGAGCAGGGAGGGTGAGCTGGCATCAAGTCCCCGCATCCAGTCTGCTTCTAGGGCAGAACAGGACAATACCATCACACTGCAACAGCAATGCCAGGACATGGGCGAGGCATGAGAGAGCAGCCACAGATGACACACCTGACGGGAATGCAGTCAACTGAACGCATTTAATCAGAAATATCAGATGTGAGCCGACAGGCTTCAAATGCCATGATCCCCACAGGTAAGAACCAACCAACACTCCCATTTCTTCTTCAACCAGTAGCTAGGTCCCAAACTCTGTTGCACACTGGGTCACCTGCAGACATTTCAATCCACTGGTCCAGGGGACGACCTGGATGTCGGGTGATTTAAAAGCTCTACAGGAGCTTCAAGGGCATTTTAGGAACCCACTCTTCAACAGCTCCTCAAACACAGAGGACAGAGCATCCACCTTGACTGACAGGGGCTAAAATAAGGACTGCAAATAAATTTCAACTGTAACATCAACTTCAACTGACTGCCTAGATTAGTGACTGGTTCCCAAACTGATGAATGTTAGAATCACCCAGGAGACTTAAAACTCCTGATGCCCAAGTCACATTGCATACCAGTGACATCAGCATGGAAGCCAGGTATCAGCAGTTTGTAAAGATCCCCAGGTGATTCCAGTGGGCAACAAGATTCGGGAGCCACAGGCTGGGAGGAGCATTTTGTCGGGAAGCATGCCGAGGCTGAGGGCACCGAGGAAAGCATCGTGATCAATCAAGTCTGCCATAGGAACAAGAGAGCTGAGGCAACACAGCACACGTGTGCCATTCCTGAACCAGATGCCAAAGGCATCAGACACAGACCCGAGCCCACCAGAAGAATGAATTGCGGCTTATGGATTGAACTTTCCCACACAGTATCTCATTTTATCAGGTACTGTTTAATAAAACCGAGAGAACAGGAAAAAACTTAATTGGAAAAGAAACCCTGGAAATCTGCTCAGCTGAGAAGGTAATTAGGGAGGTAACGGAGGTATCTAAACACCGCTCACCCTCAGCTCCACCTCCTTGCCCAGCAAGTCATATAGAGATGCTCCTTTGGAAGTGATTTCAGAAGCAAGCTGCCTCGCTGCTTTTAAATCTGCAATCTAGAAAGAAGATATCAAAAACAGAAATTTCACTAACAGGTTTTCAGCATGCAGAAAGAACCAATCTGTTCCTATCAGTTCCTTCCTCCAGTCAGAATACTTACTTAACTATAGAATGTGTTTTCCCCAGGAGACATATTCACACCCCGTAGAAGAGAGCTCCCAAGACACCAGTTTAGGAAACACTGATCTAAGTACAAATTAGATCAATTACAGGACCCTGGGTCTCTCTGAAAACCCCAACGTCAAGTCAAATGTATTCTGCAAGCAGGAGGTGTGTGGGGGCGTGAGGCTGGCACGCCTCCTACAATGAGGGGCTCTGGCAGCGGCGGGCTGAGAGAGGAGGGGCAGCCTGAGGACACAGCCCCATGCAGCTCCCAAGGCCGTGTTTGCCCTCCCGCCCCGCGTTCAGGGTGCACTCCACGGGCTGCCAAGAGGTTCAGAGGGGCTCACCGGCACAAGGGGCTCACAGCAGACCGGCTCCCACAAGGCTCTGCCATGAGGACGGTGAGGACCACTGAGCACTCAGCCCAGGGTAAGCTTCTCTCTTGGGGTCTGCTTGCCACAGCCTCCTCCGTGAATGTGCTACATTTCCAAAGAGCCAAGTATTTCCCAGTTCTGCTCACCCTCCCTCTCCCCCAGCCAACGAACTCCCACCTGCAACAACGCTCCTTCTTCCCTCACAGCGGGCGACTTGTCCATTTCCTGAGTCCTCAGGGCTCTGCTGGGAAGCAGCAAGCTTCCGGCTTCCCCTGTGGGAGTCTTCTCACCCCCCACTTCTCAGCACTGGAATCAGCAGAGTTCAGCCCCCCAGCCTCTCCCCCTCACAATCCCCGAAAGCTCCTGGTGTGGATGCCGAGGCTCCGTGTCTCCACTCGGACACCTCAGAGGTGCTGCAAAGGCGATGTCCCAAACCAAACGCCTCATCTTTCCTGCCAGACCTGCTCCTTCTGAACTCTCCTCTGTCTCAGTGATGGCAACCCCGTCCTGGCGGGGATTCACACCCCCACTCTAGAGCTGTGCCGTCTGTCACGTGCCAGTCTCAGTGTTAAACCATTTAAAATTAAGAAAAACTTAAACTCACCTCCTGGGTTGTGCTGGTGACACGTGGCTAGTGGCTACCGTGCCGCGTGGCACAGGCCACATCCACCGGCACAGGGAGGGCGACTCGACAGAGCCGCTTCAGACCTTCCTTATGGTGTCCACTTTCGCTCAACCTTTTGCCTCCTGGGGCAAGCTGCCCCCAACACCAGGGCTCCGCAGCCTCTGAACAGAGTTTCAGTCAAGGACCCAGGCCCTCTGGCCAATCATGTTCTTATTAATAAGAAGATCTGCATCCCTAGGTCTCTTTATCCAAGGCCTTGGGCCCGGGTCCTCTTCAGTGCCTCTGCCAAGGCCTCCAGATTTGGGAAGGCGGGGCGAACACCTGAGGACACTCTCCCTCCGATTCAGTCCCCACCATGTTCCCATTCTGAGCCTCCCACACCTTGGTGTGGCGGGGGCGGCGGGGCGGTCATTAAAACTGCCAGAGCAGTTCTATGAAACAGGGAGCCGACACTCCCTCTGGCTCTAGCCCCTTGCTTACACCACAGCAGATTAAAGACATAGCTTTCATGTTTGGCTTGTTGCTTTAACCAAGTCCTCCAACACCTCGCAGCTCCCACTCTCCCCAAGCTCAGCTGAGCGCTCACTGGCCACTCAGAGTCACAGGCACCATCACCTTGGGCTTTTTCATAGGTCTCTCTGCTCCCACCTTTGCCTCCCCACTCAGTCTGACTCAGGAGAAGGCAATGGCACCCCACTTCAGTACTCTTGCCTGGAAAATCCCATGGACGGAGGAGCCTGGTAGACTGCAGTCCATGGGGTCGCGAAGAGTCGGACATGACTCAGCGACTTCACTTCCACTTTTCACTTTCATGCACTGGAGAAGGAAATGGCAACCTGCTCCAGTGTTCTTGCCTGGAGAATCCCAGGGACGGGGGAGCCTGGTGGGCTGCTGTCTATGGGGTCTCACAGAGTTGGACACGACTGAAGCGACTTAGCAGCAGCAGCAGCAGTCTCACTCAATCCAGCAACCAGTGATCCTTTTAATATGAGGCTTCAAATGATGGACTTCTCTGCTCAAAACTCAACCACTTTCCACCTCAAAGTCTTGGCAGTGGCCTTCCAGGAACCCTAGGGCCTATGGCCGCCTCCCCTCCCAGCTCTCATCACACGGCCCCCCTCGCATTTCCTCACACACACAGCACAGCCTCCACTGAACAGCTTGCTCCTTCTCTCCACCAGATCTTCGCTGAGACATCACACAGTCCCTGAGGCTGTGCTATCCCCCAGTTTCAGACCCTCCCCCACCACCTCCCTCTTCACCATCCGTCACCATCAGCCCATCTGACAAGCCGCTCCTTCTGCTGTGCAGTTCAGTCTGGCTCCCCCAACGGAGCCGCAGGAATAGAGAAGCCTGTGCTTGTTCACGCCTGTGAACTGTGCCACAGTGCCTGGCAGACAGCAGGCTTTCAATAAATAGCTGAATTTACTGTCCCTTCTGTTTTGATCCAAATGCTGATAAGCACAAAGCTGAGTCTTCCTGGTGCTTCAGTGGTTAAGAATCTGCCTTACAACGCAAGCAACGTGGGTTTGATCCCACACGCTGTGGAACAACAGACCCCACACACTCCAACTACAAAGCCCACGGGCTCTGGAGCCCATGTGCCACAGCCAGAGAGTCCGCGCACCACTGCAAAAGGCCCCACTTGCCACACCCAAGACCCAACAGGGCCAAACAAATTCCATTTTTAAAAAGTTAAAAAACAATGCAGACGAATGAGCACAAAACTGACAAACGGCCCCCAGTCAAGGAGTAAGGAAAGAAGCGGGCTGTGTTGCTATAGTTCATCTCAGAGTCTGAGAAATGAATGCCCCATCTCCCTCTACAAGACCTGTCCTGTCCTCACCTTTGAGCCAAGATCAAACTTGAACTTGCTGACGTCTTCCTCTCCTAGTTTAGAGCCCTCCATGCCTTTGGTCTTCATAGCATTGTAAAGGACAGAGGTGATCTTCAGTAGTTCTTTCACTGCATACCCGTCTGCCTGATAAAGCTTCTTGGTATTGAGTTTTATATGTGCCTTGGTGGCCTATTTTCAGACAAAAAAAAGTTTAAGATCCCTTCCATGTAAAATTAAACCAAATCCCATGCAGGTCATTTGAAACTGTCTCTGCCAAGAATTGGTGTATAACTAAAGCATATTAAGAGTCAAACTTTCAAGTCACTCTTATATTGTGAGTGGGTACGTAGACTGGTACAATCCTGATGGAAAGCAATTTGGTAAATGACAACAAGATGATAAATGTGCATATCTTTTGACCCAGAAATCAAAATCCTAGCAACTTATGATAGGGATACACGTTGTCACAAACAAAACAATGTGTATAGGTTATCTGTTACAGCACTGTTTCTAAGAACAAAAGTTACCAACAACCTAAATGCCAACCTGTATAAATTATACAACTTATGGTATAAACATGCAAGCAACACTACTCAGATGTAAGAGAAAATGAAGAAATTCTATCTGTATTTGAAAAGTTCTCCAAAATGTACTGTTCCATAAAGACAGAGATATACTGTATGCCACGACCAGATCAAAAGGAAGGAAAAAGTATATCTAGCCTATTTGCTTAAATATGCCTACAGAAACTGAGAGATATTAAAATTAGTGATTACTGGGAATTGAACTGGGCTGATGGCAGACAAAATAGAAACTCATTTTATTCTATTATCGTTTCATGATTTAAAAAAAATTTTTTGAGCCATAATATACATTGACTATTCAAAATAATAAAATTTGTTTTAAAGTCTGTATGCTATTTTAATTAGAAAAATATTATCTGGCAGCAGTTCTTCACCTGTCTGTCCTCTCTCCCTCTGAGAGTGTATCCTTGCTTAAATAAACTATCACTTTACTTTCTTAACCTCTCAAAAAGAAAAATATCTGTATAAAATTTTGGTCCAGTTTCTTCTCCTTTAGATCTGCCATTCAAACTTACATAATTTTATTAAGTAAAAGCAGCAGCATATAGTATCTGACATGAGCAATAAATACTTCACATCACTAAATTAATAGAGCTTAATTGAAATAGGTGTGTTCTTTATTATTTCTCAGAAACAGTAACTCATCTTTCCTACATGTTATTCCCTTTACTTTTATCTATCTGAGTAACTATGTAACATGCGTCTCTTTTCCCATACCCAGTAATACGAATGTTACATAAGTGTAATTTATAACATCAATAACTAGATTTGTCATTAGTCTTCAAGTTCCTCTTATTATATGGTATTCCCATAACTTCATATATTTCAGTCAACCTTATGCTTTCCAACAAAGATTGTAAAAACTTAAGACGTTAATTTAAAAACATTATTAAAATTCCAGACTAAATAACAGTGGGCCCACTTGGAGTGATGTTGTGAACGAGAGGCCCCTGGACAACTACTGCTTCAATCTCAAAACAGCTTCCTTTAGGCAAAGCAACAACCTGCTAAGCTTCTCTTACAGGAAAGCTACTCTGGAAATATTATTTATAGGTGTCATTGACAGTATGGAAGTCATTTATGACAGTAGGCCAAACAGCTGTCTTTACCATATCTGTGAACTCACAGCCTGCTGCTCTCAGGATTTACCATGTCTGTAAAAGCATGTTCAGCCGCCTCTGCCACCGCTCGCTGGCAGATGCTGTCCACCCGCAGGGTCCACACAGATCGAGCAGTCCTGAAACACATTCTGTCGACTAACACAACCTGACTGTGGGGACGAATGGCCGCTGGGGCTTCCGCAGTGCTGATCACCTTTCTGGTCAAAGGTGACATGGCTAATCCTTTTCTCTCACTGCTCCTCTGAGACAACTATCCTGTATACTGCCACCACTGGTGTCTCATGGGACTCTAAAATTCTTAACAAATCATGAGTTAAAAACAAAAAACTCAGAAAACTTTGTTGGTAAAATGACTCCACAGATAGTGCTTGCCATCACCAGATGAGAAGGTAAGAAGCAGCCTTTCTGTGGAGAGTAAAAATAATGGTATACAGAGTAAAGAACTATCCAATTATGTGATAACCTTTGTGTAGAAAATATTGCTTAAAATTCAAAAAATGGCTCCACAGAAATCTGGTAATGCAGAGTGTTAAGAAAGCTGAACGCAGCTCTAATTAGGCTCCATCTCCTTCTGGTGTATTTAATTTTACAACTCCATCAAAAAACTGAACTAACCATGAACTGGGCAATTGCCTTAATGAAGAAAACTCGGTCTTGTTCAGTCTCAACATCAGAAGGGATGTCATTCTGAGGTTCGTACCTATTGCAAAGACAGAGACAGAGAGAAAGACACAAGTTAATTAAGCTGAAAGGTCACAAAACAGAAAGTAAACCACTGGGAGGACAGTGGATCTGTAACAGGAAGCTGAGTCCCCAGCTACGGTAGTAAGAATATGCAAGACCTCAAAAGCAACACAAAATACCAAACATCCAAGAGAACAAATCCTCACCAAAAAATAGGCTTCAGTTCAGTCACTCAGTCACGTCCGACTCTGCAACCCCATGGACTGCAGCACTCAAGCCTCCCTGTCCATCACCAACTCTCGGAACTTACTCAAACTCATGTGCATTGAGTCAGTGAAGCCATCCAACCATCTCATCCTCTGTCATCCCCTTCTCCTCCCGCCTTCAATCTTTCCCAGCATCAGCACCTTTTCAAATGTCAAAAACCAAATCTGGAGCTCAGCTTACAAAACTAAATCTGTATCAGACAGCAAAGTTTAATTAAAATATCCAGAAGGATCACTCTGGCTGACAGCCCTTGACTCAGCAGAGGGGCCAGAGTTCCTTTCTTCGAGTTACTGATGACATGCTGGGGTCAACAGCCTGCAGTCCTTGGCCTTCTCCTGTACAGCTCACAAGCTAAGGAGAGTTTTTACATTTTTAAAGGGCAATAAACAATAAAACACAAGGAAGCCTGACAGAGATCTTATGCAGCGGGCAATGCCTAAAATCTTGATCATCTCCTTAGTAAAAAGTTTGCCAATCCTAAGGCAGATACTGTGTGAGGAGGCCCTGTCAATCCCTGATGAAGGCGAGGGGATGATGAGGAGGGTGGGCCAGCACGCCTGTCAGCTTACTGCTGAGAAACAGTCTTTCACCACCTCCTGGCACACTCCCTTTCCCCACAGCATTCCTTAACACACATCTGACTTTTAACAGGTTACAGCCCAGTCTGTCAAATTTTACTGAACTTTTCCTTTTGCTTCTCAGAAGTATCCTGTTTCTAGGTGGCTAATGAGTAACATCTCGAATCTCGACCACAGTAAAGTTCCCGGTTCTAACCTTTTCACAAGCCAGAGAAGCACTTCAGATACAAGCCCAAAATTTGGTGTGCGGAAGTTTTCCATGGAAATATGTCGAGGGTATCCCAAGGCTCTCATCATCTCTGTAAAATCTGTCCAAGGTAAAAACACACAGGATGGTCAGCTCCTCCTCAAACATCAGCTACTTATCAACACAGATACTTCCTTCATTTTTGTCTTCTTACTCCCAGGCTACTGACACGTTTATAGACTATTTATCAACTCTGAGAGAAAAACAAAAAGGAGATAAAATGGTTAAGCTGTTTCCTAAAAAACATTTATTTGAGTTCAATGGGAGAACTGGAAACTACGTTGAAATAGGGTTTAGGGATTGGCTGTGAATTTAATTTCTCTCTTGGGTATCTCAACTATCTCCTGGATATCTTTCTCTTCACCACTAAAAATGAAAAATATCTGGTCTTACAAAATGTCATAAAGAAAAACATTTTTAAATGTTAACCTTTTTTTTTTTTGGTAGAGGTGATGGTGGTAGGGTAAAACTGATGTCTCTGTGTTACTTAGAGGAATGTTCAAGAGAATGCTTGAACTATAGAGCAATACTTAGCTGTACAATGAAACAGACTAAGAAACAGTAATACTAACACTTGTTCTTAATACTGCAATCACTAAGTTTTAAGCAAGACTTGCAAATAACATCCTTTTAGTTCCCATGATGTGCCAAGAGCGCTTCTGACTAAGTAATGTCTGTCTTCACTTTTCTTGAAGATGGATATTGAAAATGTCCCAATGACATTCACAAATAAGCTACCTGGTCATTGGAGATTAGGCTGAATTTCACCAGACAACAGAAGAGAAGATATAAGCAGTGGAAAGAGCAGCAGAGGGCCTCTGCCATTGTTCCGGGGGATATTTAAATAGAGCAATGGAAAATAAAAGCAGCAGCCTTCCCACCAGATGGTGAGGCCTAAACACTTCCTCTCACTAAGTAGTAGCCAAATTCTGTTAATTCTGCAGTATCGTCATCAAAAGGAGACAAGTAAGATTCTTACATGAACTGCCTAAAGTATGGCATTCATTTAAGGTCAAAAACGTTCAGAAATCCTTTTGTACACTTTTCCCAAAACAACTCCATTCAGTGTCCCTTAGCAGAAGGCTGGCCTCCCTCAACTGTGAGGGAGGAGAAAGGTGTCTCTACAACATAATGTCTCCAAGAATGTCCAAAAAAAAAAAAAAAAAAGAATGTCCAAGTCCCAGAGGGCAGAGATTCACACAACAGTGCTAGCAGGCATCAATAAACGGTGGTGCCTCTTCCTATATATTTACATTATAGAAAGAGCCCTTCACAACTGAAAGCAGTAATCTTTAAAGGGGAAATTTCAGGCACTGGCAACTATTAGAAAATTGGCCTTAAAGAGGCCCTTCAAATCACACCAAATTGGCAACACCTGCTACACGTGTGCAGGTGGAGCCAGTTCCCTGAACCGCTTCAGATTCAGAAAATGACAGCACATAAAAGGCAAGAGACTGATTCACACAGTCCCAGGTTTTGATACTGATTTCCACCCAGTTCTAGCTCTAGGATCTAAAGCAGCTATTTCACCTCCCTGCTTCAAAGTATTCCATCCAGGAATGACTCACCTCACTGTAACAGTGAGGACTAAAATAAGATATTAAATGTAAAATGTTTTCTTTCTAACAGATGTTCCCCAGAGCAGTGATAACTAGTTCTTTAATCCCCATTTTTCCACTTCCCCACGCTCCTTGAAAAGGCACTTTTGGGTTCCCTTCTCCTCACCAGCCCCTTTCAGAAAGGCTGCAGGCTTTGGAGGTTAGACGACACGATTTCACACTCCAGCGCCAGCTCTTACCACCTATGTCCCGACCGACCGAGTGACCTGACCTCTCTGTGTCCATTTCCTCACCTAAACATAAAAGGACTGCTGTTCAGAGGAGTAAATGAAATGATGAACACACACAGAACAGTAATTAACTACCTAGCAGATCACAAAAACTCGAACTCGAAAAATATTAGCCTCAATCATTATTCACCAGCCCCCTCTTCGATTCTCTTGTTCGCTTCTCTAAGCTAACCCAGCTCAAAAACGGTCGCTTTGGAAAATGGTGGTTTGCAATACAGTAGCGAACAGACCCAAGTCTATTAAAATTAGATAAAATTAAAACTTCGGTTCCTCAGCCGCACTAGCCGCATACACATCATAGCAGAAAGCGCTATGAGACACACTGGGGCGCTCAGCCTGGCGGGGGTCGGCTCGGGTCAGGGGCGCCCCTGAGTTGCAGAGACCCCGGAAGGGGACTTCGGCGCGAGAGCCTCGGCGGGGCTCGGACAGGGAGCCGGCGGGCCGGAGCCCCGAGTCTCGGGAGGATCGCAGGTCACAGAGGGCAGGGATGCCTTACTGCGGAGATCACGGAAAGACATGGCGCTCAAGTGCCCAGGATCCCGAAGCCTCCACCGCTAGCCAGTCACCGCTCCGGGGTTTCTTTGGCAACGCACTGAGCCCCAGATGGCGCGCTGCCGGGACCAAAAAGACTGGAAGCAAAGCCGACCGGGCCGTGTGCGCATGCTCTGTATGTACCGGAGCGAGGGCGGCCGGCAGGCGGCGTAAAACGCGACGCTGAGGGAGCTGGTGTGGCGTGCAGGCTCCCTTCACACATGCAGACATTTGTACTGGCCGACACGTTCTAAGCACCTAAGTGCCTGTGCAAGGCGGTCTACATAGTACTTCTCATTTCCGCCTAAACTCCTCCAGAAAGGATGTACACGATGTCAGGAAGCCAGGTCTCCCTTTGGAGTCCTACGCCCGGCACTCCTCTCTGGCATGTGTAAAATGGCTGGCCGCGCCCGCGTCCGAAGCGCCTGCAGCGTGAAGCAGTTGAGGCCACGGACTACGAGGCGAAGGTCAGAGCGACCAAGAAGCGGCGAGAGCCGCCCGATCCGCAAACCGCGCGTACGCACTGGGCTCGGCCTTTACGACAGGCCGGAAACCGGCGCGCCGGGGGGTTGTCCTGGCAACTGTGAACTCTGAAGTTTGGAGCTGGTTCTTGCACGCGGTAGACGGAGGGGGCGGGGCGGGGGTGCACCGCGCCCAGCCCGTGGCGGGATCAGCTGTGCTCTCGGTTGGGCCCACTCTCTACCTGCCTGCCACGGCTGGGGAAAGGCAACCGGAAGGGCTGGGGAGGTGAAGTGAGCTGAGCCCAGAGTGCGGGCGAAGAAGAGGGACTACCAATGCTAAGATGCCCTCCACCCCTGTATTGGTTTTAGTGAAGTAACAGACACATGAATGCGCTGACCTTAAAGATTCTCAAAATAGACCTGCACATACGTGGTCATTAGGATAAATAAAGCCCTTTAATAGAGAAAGAATAATCTTTTTAGCAAAGGATCTTGGAACAACTAGAAATGCAAATAAATGAACCTGCATCCTTACATGTAAAGGGTAAAACGTAAAAACTATGACTTTTCTAGAAGAAAACTTGGAAAGCTTTGGGACTGGGTTAAACAAGAGTCCTTGGATAAAATACACTAGAAGTATCATCCTTTAAAAAATGTTTTTTGATGAATCGGACTTCATCAAAATTTAGAACTGCTCTTCAAGGCACTTTTTAAGAAAATGAAAAGGTAAACCCACAGTCTAAAAGAATATATTTACAAAGCACAGATGATTTGAAAAAGACTTCTGAAATACATAACAAACTTTCAAAACTCACTGAAGAAAACTATCAGAAAGCAGATCAAAAAACTTAGTTCACAAAAGATATGGCAAATGCCAACAATTAGTCCAGCTAAGAAATGCATAAATTTGTTTGAGCCAACCTGAGGATTATAATCAGGCAAGGAGTCTTTCAGAAAGCTCTAAGGATGTTCCAAAGAGGAAAGGGGTAAGCTAGTAGGTATGTGATTTTAAGTAAGGGGTAGGTGTAATCAAGGATACAACATTGTAGAGGTTTACTGCTATTAACAAGGAACAGATGTTACAGTTAATGGTTTTAGTTCTTTTCTAAGTAGGCAAGATATAAGAAACTGAATTCATACAATTTCCTCCTGAAAATACCTAACTGACTGACTAACTAACTGCCAGTCTTCCGAGAGCACAAAATGCCTCATCCTGATTTGGCCCTGAAGTTCCTTCACCATGTGTTGTATGTAGGTCAGTGACTGTAGTGGCAAAATGACTCAATTGTTGTAGAACTGGATGGTGGACAACATACTTGGTTTGACAATCTCCTCTCTTTCAGTCTTAATTTCGACCAAGGCTTTGAGACATTTCATGACCAGTTTCTCACACAGCAATAGGAATGTTCACACCCAGGTCAAGCAAGGATTTCACTAACAGGTGACTCAATGTGCTATTATTGTACTGTTAACAGTAGCCAGATGCAATGATCTTAGTTTTCTGAATGTTGAGCTTTAAGCCAACTTTTTCACTGTCCTCTTCACTTTCATCCAGAGGCTTTTTAGTTCCTTTTCACTTTCTGCCATAAGGGTGCTGTCATCTGTATATCTGAGTTTATTGATATTTCTCCTGGCAATCTTGATTCCAGCTTGGAAATAAATGGGGAAACAGCGGAAAGTGTGACTTTATTTTGGGGGGCTCCAAAATCACTGCAGATGGTGAATGCAACCATGAAATTAAAAGACCCTTACTCCTTGGAAGGAAAGTTATGACCAACCTAGATAGCATATTAAAAAGGAGAGACATTACTTTGCCAACAAAGGTCCGTCTAGTCAAGGCTATGGTTTTTCCAGTGGTCATGTATGGATGTGAGAGTTGGACTGTGAAGAAAGCTGAGCACCGAAGAATTGATGCTTTTGAACTGTGGCGTTGGAGAAGACTCTTGAGAGTCCCCTGGACTGCACGGAGATCCAACCAGTCCATCCTAAAGCAGATCAGTCATGGGTGTTCATTGGAAGGACTGATGCTGAAGCTGAAACTCCAATACTTTGGCCACCTCACGCAAAGAGTTGACTCATTGGAGAAGACCCTGATGCTGGGAGGGATTGGGGGCAGGAGTAGAAGTGGACGACAGAGGATGAGATGGCTGGATGGCATCACCGACTCGATGGGCATGAGTTTTAGTGAACTCCGGGAGTTGGTGATGGACAGGGAGGCCTGGCCTGCTGTGGTTCATGGGGTTGCAAAGAGTTGGACATGACAGAGCGACTGAACTGAACTGAACTCAACAGTAGCCAAAAGCATCTGGACCATCTTGCCTATCTCTCTAGTCTGTTATGGTCCAGGAAATGATTTTCTCTTATTGCTTCTTCCCAAATCTAGAGGTGCACTATTAAAGTCATCAACCTTGGGAATTCCTTGGTGTTCCAGTGGCTGGGAATGGAGGAGAGAATTCCCTGGTGGCTCAGTGGTAAAGAATCCACCTGCCAATGCAGGAGACATTAAGACTTGAGTTTGATCCTTGGGGTCAGGAAGATCCCCAGAGGAAGAAATAGCAACTCAGTCAAGTATTCTTGCCTGGAGAACCCTATGGACAGAGGAGCTTGGCGGGCTACAGTCCATAGGATTGCAAAGAGTTGGACATGACTGAAGCGACTTAGCATGCACAAGTAAGTATTTAAACTAAGAACTTCCATTAGGTGTGGCCCAGTATCACCCTAGGTTGTCTGACCCAGTCTGTCTGCACAAATCGCTGTCTTTAAAGGAACTGTTTGTATTGGCCTTGCACATAAAGTTCACCAAACATACCTGCATCGTGACCCCTGACAGGATTGAGAAAGGAACATTATCTTCTAAGGAGTTACATGGCTGGTATTAGAAGGAGAAAAATGAATCTTTATAGTTGAGCAGTTTTTCTGCCGCTGCAGAAGTCTTATGGTTAATGCATAATGCAGACACATAATGCACACTTGAGTGGAGAAGAGGAAGCACAAACAGAGAAAAAAAAACGTGTTTAAATTTTCTTGCCTTAAAATAATGTCTTATTTTCTTACAATAAGCTAAGGAAAGGATGCTTAAGATCATTAGTCATTAGAGAAATGCATATTAAACCACAAGATATCACTAGGCAGTTATTCAGTTTAGTTCTGCTTGGTCGCTCAGTTGTGTCTGACTCTTTGCAACCCCACGATCCGCAGCATGCCAGGCCTCCCAGTCCATCACCAACTCCCGGAGTCCACCCAAACCCATGTCCATTGAGTCGGTGATGCCATACAACCAACTCATCCTCTGTCGTCCGCTTCTCCTCCTGCCCCCAATCTTTCCCAGCATCGGGGTCTTTTCAAATGAATCAGCTCTTTGCATCAGGTGGCCAAAGTACTGGAGTTTCAGCTTCAGCATCAGTCCTTCCAATGAACACCCAGGACTGATCTGCTTTAGGATGGACTGGTCGAATCTCCTTGCAGTCCAAGGGACTCTCAAGAGTGTTCTCCAACACCACAGTTCAAAAGCATCAATTCTTCGGCGCTCAGCTTTCTTTATAGTCCAACTCTCACATCCATACATGACTACTGGAAAAACCATAGCCTTGACTAGATGGACCTTTGTTGGCAAAGTAATGTCTCTGCTTTTTAATATACTGTCTAGGTTGGTCATAACTTTCCAAGGAGTAAGTGTCTTTTAATTTCATGGTAGCAGTCACCATCTGCAGTGATTTTGGAGTCCCCAAAAATAAAGTCAGCCACTCTTTCCCCATCTATTTGCCATGAAGTGATGGGACCAGATGCCATGATCTGTTTTCTGAATGTTGAGCTTTAAGCCAACTTTTTCACTCTTTTCACTTTCATCAAGAGGCTCTTTAGTTCTTCTTCACTTTCTGCCATAAGGGTGGTGTCATCTGCATATCTGAGGTTACTGATATTTCTCCTGGCAATCTTAATTCCAGCTTGTGCTTCCTCCAGCCCAGCGTTTCACATGATGTACTCTGCATATAAGTTAAATAAGCAGGGTGACAATATACAGCCTTGACGTACTCCTTTTCTTATTTGGAACCAGGCTGTTGTTCCATGTCCAGTTCTAACTGTTGCTTCCTGACCTGCATACAGGTTTCTCAAAAGGCAGATCAGGTATTCCCATCTCTTTCAGAATTTTTCACAGTTCATTGTGATCCACACAGTCAAAGGCTTTGGCATAGTCAGTAAAGCAGAAATAGATGTTTTTCTGGAACTCTTGCTTTTTCGATGATCCAGCAGATGTTGGCAATTTGATCTCTGGTTCCTCTGCCTTTTCTAAATATTAGAATAGCTAAAACAACAAACCACCACAAAAACCCTGACAGTGCTAAGGGCTTGAAAGGATGGAGAGCACCTTGGACTTTCACACCTTATTGGTGAGAATATGAAAGTGTACATCCACTTTGGAAGACAGTTGGTGAAAGTTAAACATACCCTTAACATACAGTTCAGCAGTCCCTCTCCCAGGTATTCACCAAAGAGAAACAAAAATTACTTATGTTCACACAGAAACC